CTCGGATTGTGATATTCGCCCTGGAGTGCTGGTCAGGACACAGGAGACAGTTTGCAGATGGTGTATTTAGGAGGTTTAATGAAGCTCAGGCAACATCGCAGAACATTATTGGTTGTATGTGTGGTCTATAAAGAAAAAGAATAAACAAATTAAGTTACTGTACTACAGATTACAGTAATAAAGTAAATGGTGTACAAGTGTACTAAGTATATAACAAACATAAACAGCAAACATGGATGGGCTAAATAAAAAGCACACAATAAAGACATAACTATAAGGAACATACACGGCACGACACACGAAAATAGCATTAGCGGCTAAGCTAATCTAAGCTCCCTTATAAACATAACTACACAGGTATTATAGGAATATGAACACATCCCGACACGCGTAAAACAATAACAAAGGACTTATAAAACGTCCATATAGCTCTGAATACCATAAACTTACTTTTTGTCAACAACGCACAACTTTAGCTGACGATACGTGTCTGCACGCCCGAGCCTCGTGAACCAATTAAGACAGCGGTGCCGTGCGCTCTGAACTAAAGCATGCATTAACTCACAGCACCTCTAGAGGGCGCTCCTGACAAAGCTACTTCCTTTCTAACAACTATTACTAAATACAATATTGTAGTAATCAGAAGCAGCAATAAATATATAGCAGAACTCTTTGTGTATGTGTCATACAAGTTATTTGAAGTTATTTTCAGTTAATTGAACCTTTCATGGCTTAAATCTTGTCACAGTACCAAAAAATAACAAAAAAAATTCTCCAGTAGTACAAAGAAAATATACACTCTGTAAATACTGACCTGCAAAAAATATTATTCTATCATATATTGAATGATAAGTCAATATAGTACAGTCCCTGACAAATGTCTTGTCGCTTATCCATTTTGTTGAAACAAAAGCTTATAACCTGACTTTAAATTAATCGATTGGTTTTAGAAATGTCTCATATGAAAGCTAAAACCCTCCCAAATTATGCTCAATGAACTAAAATAAATTTGCTTCGCTGAAAAAAGATTGATAATTTAATGAACACAGAAAGGTCAGATTTTGGCAAGACAAAAGTTTTGTCGCCTACAGAAAATTGAACAAATAATTTACTTCAAATACAAAAATATGTTGCATAACGTCAGTGAATTAAGTAGTGGTGCTGTGAGATCCATATTTAATATCTTGTATGACTTCCATGAGCTTGAAGGACTGCATCCATGCGGTTCGACAATGATTCATACAATTTGTTGATGAAGTCATCAGGAATAGCAAAGAAAGCGTCTTACATGCCTCTCAGAGTTCATCAAGATTCTTTGGTTTTGCCTTCCATGCTTCCTCTTTCATTCTACCCCAGACATGCTCAATGATGTTCATGTCTGGTGACTGGGCTGGCCAGTCCTGGAGCACCTTGATCTTCTTTGCCTTGAGAAACTTTGATGTAGAGATAGAAGTATGCGATGGAGCACCATCCTGCTGCAAAATTTGACCCCTTTTATGGTTGGGAATGTAAGAGGTAGCTAATACTTCTTGATATTTTAGGTTATTGATATTGCCTTCCACCCTGCAAATGTCTCACACACCCCCATACTGGATGGAACCCCAGACCATGATTTTTCTGCCATCAAACTTAACTGTTTTCTGGGTGAATCTTGGATCCATGCGGGCTCCAGTAGGTCTCCTGCAATATTTGCGGCGGCTGTGATGTAATTCAACTGAGGATTCATCTGAGAAATCCACCTTCTGCCACTTTTCCTGTGTCCATCCTTTTAGCAGGCTGTGGGCCTTGGCAAAGGCCACATGGTTTTTTAATTGCCTTTTGTTTAGTGCTGGTTTCTGTGCACTGATTCGACCATGGAGGCCATTTCGAGACAGAATTCTACAAACTGTTGTGGTTGACACAGGGACTTGAGGTGACCAGGCCTGGTGGAGCTCTGCTGCAGTGGAAAAGGGGCTGTCCTTGGATTTTCGAATCAACAAACGGTCCTCCCGAGCAGTTGTCTTGCGGGGTCTGCCGGACCTGGGCTTGTCAAAAACATCTCCCGTCATTTCAGATCTTTTTCTTATTCTTTGTACTTGACGCTGAGACACATTGAAGGTGTCAGCCACCTCAGCAGTGGATCTGGTCTTCAGCCTCTTGATAATTAACGCTTTGGTCTCAGGGTGGATCTTAGGCATGTTGTCAGAGGTCAAGTTGCAGTTGATGTGAAGGTCTGGTGTGCTGGGGTTCTTTTTATACACACCCACTAATTGATTGATCAGTAACTGATCACAGGTGAGGCTGTAATCTAGGATTGGGTGCATCATATGACAAGGCGACAAGACTTTTGTCTTGCCAAAATCTGACCTTTCTATGTTCATTAAATAATCAATCTTTCTTCAGTGAAGTAAATTTATTTTAGTATATTGAGCATAATTTGGGAGGGTTTTAGCTTTCATATGAGACATTTCTAAAACCAATCAATTAATTTAAAGTCAGGTTATAAACTTTTGTTTCTACAAAATGGATAAGCAACAAGACTTTTGTCAGGGACTGTATTTGCCCTGACAGGCCTAGCTAATGGATGTTTCTGTGTGTTAGGAGTGACCCACAACATTCCCCTCCTGAGGGAGATTATCACCCACCCTCGCTTCATCTCTGGAGACATCAGCACCAGTTTCCTCCCTGAGGTTTATCCTGATGGGTTTAAGGGCCATCAGCTGACCACAGAGCGCCGTCGAGAGCTGCTGGCTTCTGCTGCTGCTCTGTATGTGACTGCAGAGCTCAGGTCACAGAAAGTCCTTGGGCCACAAAGGTAAGATGTAAATAAAAAAGTCAATACATTCATTATTTGCATATGGAAACCTGGTCACTGCTTTTGCCTCCCGTGCTTACAATCTAAAGATATAACTCTATATGTCAGTGCAGATAAAAGATTTTATTTATTTTTCAGAACAGCGCAATGCACATTTGAAAAACATAATTGTTTGGGGGATCTAGCAGTATATATTTCTATGCAAATGTTCACTAGGCCTGTCACAATAATTGCTATATTGACTTATTGCTCAATATATGATAGCTGGAACAGTATATTTTGGGGCTCAGTATTGTGTGAACAATTTCTTTACAGTGGGAAGTTTTTTTTTTTTATGTTTTTCTGTATTCTAAGATTTGAGCTGTAGAGAGTAGAATTGGTAATGGGTAATTATTGGTTCATTCTGTTATTAAGTTGTTGTTGCTCATGGCTTTTATTAATGTGGTATTTTTAAAAGCAGATTTACTGGGTTTATTCAGCTTTCTGTCAGTGGCATAAAGTAGTTTCAATATTATCATTTATTGCAATATTTCTCTTTAGCAAAATTTTCTGCCCACTAGCCACCACGTTCCAAATAGGCAGTTTTCATTGGGGCGCTTCCTGCTCCATCGACTTTGTTTCCAATTGACTTTGCATTGGAAAATTGTCACCCCTCTCTCTATAATTGCTGCAGTGAGCCTCGTCATTTTGAGCTTAAAATTTTCATATTAACCCACTCTACATGATCCTGGTGTTTTTTATTTTGCTATTTTGTATGTAAATAAATTTCTATTTCTAATATGGACCCAACTCCAAATTGACTCCTGTAACTGCTAGCATCGTGAGCTTCATTTTGATGGAGCCAAACGCTAGGTCACACTCCTTTAGTCCACTTCTTTATAAAGTCTATGACCCCACCCTGTGTTCTTCTAGCCTTCAATTTGTAGAAATGCGGCACTTCTGGAATATACAATAGTAAAGGTTGCTTCAGAAGAATATATGGAGCAGTATTGTTGTTGTTGCAGAGTGGCTTGCAGCCCTGTGGAGACCAACAGCTGGCAGCTCTGTGTGGAGCTTGGAAAAGAACTTCATGATGTCAGTGTCACCAAATCAGGAAACACCTACACTGTAAGTCATTTAATCAAGCTCCTACCTTTTTTCTTATAACCTACCGCAGTAAAACAAGATAAAACCTCTTTGGTATTTTATTCTAAATGTGAATTTGCACAATCTTTACATTCACCTGTTTCTCTATTGTACCGGTGAATGAATTAAATTGTGTTGTGTTGTGCTGAGGTTTTGGTGAATGAAGAGAAGGTAGAAGTGAGTGGAGATTATAACCTGGCATCTCCCCTGTTGCCTCTGACTATAAACAACACTACCAGGATGCTCCAGGTGAGAGAGTTCTTCCTATGCACCGATCATAAGAGAGCATGTTCAGGTATTGACACTAAGTGGTGGTCTTTTTTCCTCCTTTAGTGTCTGTCTCGAGCAGCTTCAGGAGAAATGGTTATCCAGTTTCTCGGCACATCGGTATGATTGTTCACTCGTGTGTTTATCATGTTTGTATTTTTATATACAGTATAAAGTAGACCTGGGCATTGTACAGCTCCCAAGCCACATACAGCCCTTTGGTTGACTCAGACCGGCTCGTTTAAGATCATGTGGAATTACAAAAGAAACATATTTTATAATTTTACCTCATGCATGGACTGCATTGCTTTTATTTTAGAGGTGTTTTTTTAAATGACACTTTTTGTAAAGCAAACTCACTTTTTCATTGCTTAGTCATAACATTACCAACTCTTACCAATCTTACCAGCTCATCATAACAATGCTATTTACTGCTTTTTAGAAAGAAATACAATTAATATTATTAAGAATTGAGTTAAGCATTTTGGCCTGGCCCTACACAATATTTTTTGTTTCTCATGTGGACCCATGGAAAAAATAATTGCTCACCACTGGTATAAACTATATAATGGTTCTAAGCAAGGATTAACCTGAGAGAGCAAAAAGCAAAACTAAGGATAGAATTTACAAATACAGGACTCTACATAACTTTGTTCACAACACTTTGAGAACCTCTGCTGAAATTATTTTTTCTGAGGTAAAGCTAAAGTGAATACAAATCAAATTCATGTGGACTTTTTATGTATTTATTTTTTCAAGTGTTGGCTTGTAATTATATTTTGATGAGGCATCATTTGTTTTGTTTTGCCAGTTTAAGCTACGTGTTCTGTCTAAGCTGGCTGCACAGCTGAACTCTTACATGCCCGAAAAGGTCCCAGAGGACACCACCAGTATCCTACGATCTCCAATGCCAGGAACAGTTATCGCAGTGTCTGTCAAAGTTGGAGATACGGTATGCAGCTGGTGGAATAGCATGCATGTATACATTTGTATATAGTATTAATGTTACATTTTACTAGCATACATGCATTAACAATATGACATCTAATATAGTACTGTCCACGCATGGCCCACTTTCACAAATATGACAGTGGATTTGGTTTATATTATTAACATTTGTGTGGTGGCAGGTTGCAGAGGGACAGGAGATCTGCGTGATTGAAGCCATGAAGATGCAGAATAGTCTAACAGCTGTCAGGCAAGCTAAGGTAACCTACTATTGTGTATCAGTAACAGTATTGTATAGTTTGTATTGGAGTAAAATCATTTCAAATAGTTTTTAAAATCAATTATCCAAACCACAGTAACAAATCCAAAGCCCCATTTACCATATACTTAAGAATTATAAAAATGTCTGTTTGCAGGTCAAAAGTGTCCATTGTAAATCTGGAGAGACCGTGGGAGAAGGGGACCTGTTAGTGGAGCTGGAGTAGTGCTCTACCTCCTTAGATACCTCAGACCAGGATGTGCCTTCTCACCTGGCCCCATGAAAAGTGGTCAGGTGCCGCATTGTCCTTTTAAACTTCTGCTCCTCTTCAGAGCCCCTCGCTGTAGCACTGTGCAGCCATTTCCAGAGACAGCTGTCTCACATTGCTGCAGATAGAATAAAACAAGTTATGTATGTAACTATGGTTCTATGAATTCCCGCCGATCACCAGAGGACAGTGCTGAACGCACTGTAAGGTTTCTCTGGCAATCAGGAGGAATGAAATGCAGCCACAGCTTCTCATCCAGTTGAAAAATGTTCCACTGGACCCACTGTACACTTAACATTTTCAGATAACTGTTGAATTTATACATTCAGAGTACTGAACAGAGTAGTCACCCTTGGTATATGTACATGATTGAATTATCAGATCAATAAAAAATAAATTACTTTCTGACGTTGATGACAATAAAAAAATGTCTGTTTCCAAACTTAAGCAGTAATCTAAAGTGTTTCTAATTTAAATAGTTTATATGGTGTAATGTGAATATTTTAAGGTCACCTTTGGCATTAAACATGTTGGTATGAACACAAAGGATGAATTTGGTGTCTTGGCATCTCAAGCCTTTAAGCCCCATAAGAATGCATTTAATGAGGGAAAGGAAATAATTGGAACAACTAAAGCTAAATGCTTTAGTTTACTCTTGTTTCAACTTTGTGTGCAGGATTTAGTAGTAAATACAGTCATGATCAAAATCTTAAGATCAAGAAGATCAAAACCACTCACTGTTGACATTTGGCCCAATAAGACAATTTCTAAATTCTAAATTTTCTAAATTCTAGAGTCTGTGAAAGTGTGCATCCCATTTCATCTGTGCTTTTTAATCTTGATTTGATCTTTTACTTTTGATTGAGACTGTATGGAAGGTTCATTCCATATTATTGACACCTGTACTTGAGTTTATTGCAATCTCATTTCCAGTAATTCTGGTGGATTGAAATGAAAGTGAATTAATCATGAAACCCCCACTCTGACTGTAACCACTCCAAGTACATGGATATTTATATTTAGCACCAGACTTTGGTGCATTCACTTGTACAGTTAGAATGAAACAAATGCCTCCAGACTTTTTCCTCTGCTGTGTTGTGTTTTATTAGACAAAAGCAATAAACAGTTTTCAATATTAAGTTGTGTTGTTTCAATACATTCATGCAGTTTATTATACTTTGAAATTACAGTTATTCAGTATAGAAAATGATAGGATAACCTGTACAAACATGTTTTTAAAAATGCCCTTAATCTTGTAGAGAAATCCTCATGCGAGGCTGATTCCTCTTGCGGAGAGGAGATTGAACATTCCACTGCCTAGCCCCTGATACTCTGAAAACAAAAGGTAACACATAATACCTTTTATTATGTGAAGTTCATTTCAAATTTAAGTTAAACTGAAAACATCAAAGCAATAATTGCAACTCCACAATTTGACAAGGAAAACTGGAAGTACTATTGCTTAGTTTGCACTAAAGATATTGAGCTGATATTTGCTCTTCTTAGCATATCAACTATCTGTCTTAAACAAAATATCGACCTCTGCTGGAGATTCTAAGCAACTGAATCTAAGCAAAAAACATCTACTTCACATAACCCAGAACTTGCAAATCTTGTTTAGTGGCAGATTTTAAAACAAATCAACCAGAAAATATTAAATGATAATAGTTAAAATGCACACCTTTGTTCACTCGAGCAGACTCTCAATACACCGGTATCTTCCATGGAACCTGAAATACGTCAGAAGAATGTAATGATCAAGTAACGACACTAGCTAATGTACGCCTATGTAAATGTCTGCTCAATGAATGCTAAGATCAGACTTACTTAAGCCTCTGTCACTGAGGATGGCACTGAGTCCTTCATCAAATGTCAGGTTCACATTGACAGCAGCTAAACAGGGAGAAGGTTTAGAAATCAGTTAAGACAAAGCTCTATCAGAATTAAGCCGATTATTGTACATGTTGAGTAAAAGAATAAAAATGGCAATGCAAAAAACAAAAACAAGTGTTTTTAGTGGTTAGTTAGTAGTCTTATTGTGAATTCTTTGTTCTTTGTCAAACTGCCCCGACATAGATCTGCTGACCATATCTGACCAGTCCTGTTAAACCACACTAAGACACAAAGACAACTGAGAAGCACAGTGTAAATGTTACTGCAAAAAAACTTGAATTTCCCTCAGGATCAATAAAGTATCTCTCTCTCTCTCTCTCTCAGCTCCACCAAACAGTTGGGGTCCACACTGCATGATGGGAAAAGTAGATAGCTGTACATAACATTGCCACTGTTTACTTTGTATACTAGTTAATATGTTTGCAAAGCTCTATTAATGTACAAGTGACACAGTACATAAAGAAAATGTTATACCATTGGGCGTGCTGATAGCTCTTGTGTCCAATTTTCCTTTAGGTATAACTGGGAGACGGAGAAAATTAGAATTGTCATACATTTCACAATCTCATATCAGTCAGATTTTTCAATTTTTACCAGTTTCCTCCAGGTAGTTGGACCGGCCTTGATCCTCCCGTCTCAGAACATTATTTGGACGTCTGCTATCACACATCAAGAGTTAGTCTGGATACAACACCTCTAGCTATATATGACTAATGCGCTACTATGGTTACCTTTCAGTCAGAGGGAGTTGGGAGGACAGACTGTTTTGTCGAGGAGGTTGTGGAGTTGAAAAGCGGAGAGCGAGGACAGGTCGAGGCTTGGCAGGGGACCCAAGATCAGCGTTCTGTACCAAAATACAATTATATTTAGATTAGGACCATTAAACATTGTGTAGTCCCTTGTGTTCCTCTTATCCTCTGACCTGTGCTGTTGATGTGTTCTTTGGAGCTGGCATGATGCTACAGTTCTCCATTTCCTCAATCACCTTCTGTTTCTCAGCTTCCTTCAGAGCATACTCCAACTCTGATGCCAGCTGCTCATCTCCAGCAAAGAACTCCTTTACCTCATTCTTGTAGTCCTGCATCGTCACCTGAGCATTTAAAAAGAGCCTGGCTTAAATGATCTGATAACAGAGACTAAATGCTTCCTGTTTACACATAATGAACATGTAGGGTTTTTATGTAGGACAATGAGTTGTGAGTGATTATTATGATTTGAAATGCAATAGTATAAACAATCCCTAACCCATTTTATCTAATCAAAAATGCTGGTTTGTTCATAAAAATACACATGCTGCTCAAATAAAATACTGTTAAATGAAAAAAAGTGAATTGTGAAGGTACCTGTAGGTACAACATAAGATCTTTGAGCACAGAAGAACGCTTCTGCTCAAGACAGTGCTTCAAACTGATGATCAGAGGAACCGTGTGCTCAATAAACACCTTCTTATGGACCTGATCGAAACGTAGCAAAGAAGAGCAAGTAGTTAGAAATGCTCCATATTCCAAATTATTTACATTTGAGTGTAACACAAAAAAATAGCATGTTCCTTTTTGTCAACAACCCATGGATAAAACCTGTTGACAGTATGAAAAAGTATTAAGAGGGATGTAGCTCAATTAGAAGCTCTGACCTGAGAGACAACCTTCTTCTGTGCTGTCTCCAGAACAGCTTTGGCCATGTTCTCCGCCTCCGGCTCCTCTCCTACTGCTGCACTTGAGGACTTCATGGCCCTCAGCTTCATCTCTTTCAAACTCAGAACACCAAAAGTCTCAGACAAAATGTCTGCTCCATCTGAGTCCAGGGGCAGTTCTCCATCCGCGAAGCACACTGACCAAGTATAGGGTTCAGTCATTAACTTCTCAAACATTATAATTTGTAGAATTTTGCCGTACAGTCATTGGAAACATTATTGGCACCTACATGTCTATTTAATAAGTAAAAAGACATTTCCATTATACCACACAAGCTTTATGGAAAGTCACTGCTAACCATCTGACTGCCTCTGAACAAGGCTCTCTTGCCTCATTATCTTAAGCTTCTGCTACTCTAATCCAACTAGGCTTATTCTCAAAGGCTTTTACAGAGTTACAAATGATAATAAAAACTAGACTAGCATCCAGGCAGCACATTTTTCTTGTCTAAAAATCTTGTCCTCTTAAAAAATTTTGTTGTGTAGTACTTACCCAACACTGTTTGATTGATTTTGTTTGTGATACTGAAACGCTGCACATCCGTGCAATGTTCCAACAAAAAACGATAAATATGGAAGCGTTTCTCCCGATTTTGGGGCCCTTTCAAAGTGGAGCTGAGCACATCTCTACAAATGAAAATATAAATATGGTTATTAGGGATGAGCATTCGATGAAATTTTCTTAATCGATCGTCGGAAGAATTAACAATCGATTATCGATTAATCATTAACGTTTTGATATTAAAATGATCATCATTATTACTATCTGCACTACTAATCTGCATAAATAAATTCAACTTTACGACATATAAACCATAACCACTCTAGAGCCACATCAGCTGTTTGACATTATAATGTGTTTAATTCAGTTTTGTGCAACTCTCACAGAAACGAAACTTAAAACCGCATCGCTAATTTGCATAAACTAAGCGAAGATAAAACTACAGCTCTTGTGTCGCTGATGCGGTCAATTTCTGTCGGATTAAAAGACATGACTCAGTGAAATACAGGTTAGGGTGACAGATTTGCGTTTGTCAAAACCAGGACACCGTACGGGAGGTGGGAGGTGGGGACTCGTCATCGACATTGAGCGACTCTCACCTGGTAAAACTTTTTCCCACTGGACACAGAAACATATGTTCCTGCTTTGTACACTGTGCACATGGCCTCACACTTGTCCCGAACGCACTGACCGAATGTTTGTGTCTCGCTCCTTCTGAGTGCAGAGAGCGACATGTACGGACCCGTTTGGTCACGCTACGCACAGCAACCTACACTCGGTTTGTCGATTAAAATTAACGTAATCGATGAAATTCTTAATGATCAATTATCGGTTAATCGATTAATCATGCCCATCCCTAATGGTTATTATTACAGGTGGCACGGTTCACAAAATTCACGGTTCAGTTCCTATTGCGGTTTAAGGTCGTGGTTTCGGTTCGGTACGGTTCTTGTCATTTTTTCATTTTAATCTTTAATCTCCAGAAATATACTTCATCATATGCTATGTTAGTTTAATTATCCACAATTTTGGTACAGCATTAAATTATAAAGTTTTAAAATTTAAGTTAGTAATGTAATCATGCACAATTGAATTTGACTTGACTTAAGCACATTATTAATGGACATAGGCAGCTGTTGTCCTTCGGTGAAAAAATGTTACCACCTTCCTAACCCTCCTCAGGACTTGGGATACTTGGTTTAGTAAGATTGCGCTCTTGGCTGAAGGCCCTGCCTCCACTGCACGCGTCAACGTTTACGCGCGTAACCTCGCAAAACCACAGCCGCGCCTCTGCAGGACGTACACGCGCAGCACTGACTCTGTGTTTGCCAATGGAAAATCGATCAAACTTGACTGGGCGCGTTTAGCCACTTGTATCAGGTCCACAGTGAAACTATCAACTGAACAGGCTTGTATTTACCTTCTGTACAGGGTGACCAGGGCAAACGCGAGGTTTTCAAAAGTAAATTTTAACACTAACAGTCTTTCTGGAGCTGGGCTCTTTCACACAACACGGAACTGCCTCAGGAGCACGTTGTGCTGATGGTAAACGCACACATACAACAAAAGATTCATGCTCTCTGTGTATTTTGACGCCTACTCTCACGGAGAGCATCAAAAAATAGGATGGATCCTATTTTCATACGCGCGTCTAGCGCGCAGTGGAGCCGCCCTCATTCACTTTACATGCATTCTAAGAGCCTGGCTCCATTGCACGCGTCAGCGTTTACGCGTGTAACCTCGCGGCACGGGCTCTGTGTTTTTCAATGAGATCTACGCGCGCCTATCGCGTGCAGTGGAGCCGCCCTCATTCACTTTTCATGCATTCTAAAACTTACGCGTCTCGAAGTTGCAGCGCGTAGGACAAAATAAGCCCTACGCGAGCGTAAATACGCGTGCAGTGGACCCAGGCCCTTGCGCTCCCGTAGGGCGAAATACGAAATACAACGACATGGGCGCATCCTCCATCTCCGGGCGGCCCTCTTCTCTCCTACTTGCCATTTCTACACGTGACGCGCAGCATCCACCCTCCACACCTCTTCTTTTACGCCAAAGCGAAACAGGTCACATACGGGCACGAGGCTACAATGTGCAAGCCGGGAACCGTGGAAATCGTACGGTACGCCGTACTGTTCGCAAACGTCGGTTCGTTTTTTTTTTTTTTCATGAACATGCCACCCTTAATTATTATACATATGGTACATGAGAGTGCAAAAGAAGAGAAAGGTGCCGTTTACTTGTCACTTTGAGGGAATTTGTTGTAAGACTTGTGCTGGGTGTAGGAGTTGAAGTAGAAAATACACTCAATGAAATGTTGGCTAAACATTTCAGGGCTCTTCTCGAGTAGGACGTTTAGCAGACAGTACTCGCACATGCTAGGATAAGGACAAAAATGGGATTTAAAATTCTGTTACAAAAAGATAAACAAATGTGTGGGCTTCAGACAGAATTTCTTACTTTGCAATAGAGGGAATAGGGTCGACCAAAGCAGTTATAAAACGGAAAAATAGAGAGCCTTTCCATTTAACATATTCTTCCTGCAAAACACATACAGACACAGGGATGTGTGAAATCATATATGCATGTAGCTTGCTTGTAACCTGCTACAAGAATGTATTTACTTTGTATAAATTGGAAGGAAAGATTAAAATATCTAGTTATGTCCAGTTAATTAAGAGGCAGGTGAACATACAAGAGATCAACTGTAAAGTAGTGGTCTTCAGTTGAGCCCATTATTACAGCTCCAGACTTTTTGAAAATGTATTTAAATTTGCCCACTCCACCCATAGATGTATAACAGATCCATGGCTCCACCTGCAGCAGGTTGGTGAGCATGATGAGTGTGTTCTCCCTGATGGTGGCACTCTTGTCCCTCAGCCGGGCAGAGATATTGGGGATGTAATAGTCCACGGTGTTAGTGTAGCGTATACATAGGTCACACATGATGACCACCACATTGTTCCTCACTGACACCTCTGTGCCCTCCTCCAGCTCTCGGGCAAACACGGGCAGGTACTTCTGCACCAGCTCAACATGCTGCAGGCATAGTTTACCTAAACACAGTGGCACAGGAAGTCACAGGACAGGAGGAAGGCATGCTAATGTAAAAATGCCAGGCTGTGAATACTAGGTAAAACTCACCAAGTGTAAGGACCCCATGAGCTCGGATTTTAGAGGAAAAGGAATTTGCCCTGAACTGGGACAAAGGCAAAGAGGCAGGCAAATCTCCCTGGACATCTGTGGAAAAGTATTTAAAAAAAAAAAAGAGTTCAACACCATGAAAGCACCACATGTGACAACTTTGTACAGTCACATTTATAGCAGGTAAATAATGAGCTTTTAGCTCATAGTTGTGTAACTGGATTCCGAATTGCAATATTAGGTTAAGAGGTGCGTAGTTACCTGCCAGTTGGTCAGAGTTGGTGGTGAGAATAGACTCTACCAGTAGGATGGTCCTTTTGCTGATCTTTGCCGGACAGTTCAGAGAAGCCATGCCCAAAGTATGCAAGTATTTCACCTGAAACCATTCACAAATAATTAACATTAATTGTTGTACAAACTAAAGCAAACGGTAGATTACATTAAAAAAAATATACATGTTGTGGTACTGTGAAGCGTTGCATTTGTAAAAGTGGAAGTATACAAGGAGCACATGGCTCATTTGCAGAACACAAATAGTCCTGTTTCAGCAGAAGCATACGCATGTGCACTGCAGAGCTTTAACATGAACCATTTGGGAATCTACTGAGCTTGGGCTAAAAATCAAAACTAATGTGGATTTCAAGGACAGATTGCCTATTGGGCCATGTTTCAATTAAACATTAGAGATTGACATTAATACTTCCCATACTTCTTCACATACAGACACAGTAACGTATAATTAAATCTAGAGTGGCTTTTTCTTAGGGACATAAGGGGCAGTTGAGTTCTCACCATGAGGTCTTCATCCAGGTTCTGTGTTCCATCCTTTTTCAGAATGATTGAGGCCAAGTATGATTCACAGAGTGTCACAAGCTCTCCACAGTGCTGGTTCAGAAAAGTCTGACAAAACAAAAATGTTACATCATCATATAAAATAGGACTTTTAATGCAATAAAAATGCAAATGTTTGATGTATTCTCATTTTAACTGTCAGTGTACTACAGCACATCTTGCTCTATACTAGTTTTGTTACTGTGTCATCACCCTTAGGCTTCAAACACATTTTTATATTCACTTTTATATTCACCTATCTGTCATTCATTATGGCCTTTTGAAAAAATGCTTTCAACCAGGGACTTTAATATGTTAGATTAGTATTTCACCTGTGTCAACATGATATCCTCTGATCGGCCATACTGGACCAGTGCCTCCACAGCAGCGCTGATGGCGTTCAAAGACAGAGTGAAGGTCTTCAGCTGAGACATCAAGTCCTCTAAACACAAGTTCAAACTGAGAAAAGCATTCAGACAGAACTCTCCTGCCCCATTAAACCCACTCACCAATGATCCGCTCCTGTGTGTCTGGATTCAGGTGTGGAGCAATGTCTCCAATCACACACAGAACATTGCAGAGAGTTTTTGTATTCACTTCATTCCACCTGACCGGGACAGAAAAGTGTCACCTTTACCTCCCCTTCTTCTAACAAATTAGAATTATAAAAAACGGAGCACCAACTTGGTCATTTTGTCCCAGGCGTCCAGAATCTTCCCATAGTGCACATTGGTGAATGAGATGACCATCTTGGAGAGAACTAACCAGGCCCCAGCTGCATGAGGGGCCATTGTGTGAGAGACCAGAGCACTGAAAAATGATGGAGTGAATCGGTTCTGCTTGTGCCAGATGTCAAAAGCTTTGCTGAAGTATCGGCTGCAACAATAAAAAGTGAACTTAAGTCTTCTGTTTGGACACAAGAATCTATTCCTATTTACTTTTTACCCACAAATATTAGACCAACCCCCAACCACTGCACCACAGATATTCATAATCAAAGAGCAAAAAATAGCAAAAATGTGTCAAATAAGGCTTGTATGTACAAGTAGCATTATAAAATATATTTAGGCTATTTACACAAAGTGTAAGTGGAGGGTAAAGACACATGACATCTGCCATTTACCTTTGGTGATTTTAGACAAACAAATCTTGCTTGGTCATTTTTTTTTTTTTTTTTTACAGTAGTTTTTTTCCCTTGCTCCTAATATTTAGATCAGTATTGCATAAGCACCTTTGGCACTCATTGATTGTGATGTGTGTGCTGCCTCACCTGAGGTTGTGGCAATCATGGCAGAGGCGGTGCAGTAGGTCCCAGGCCAGTCTCTGACTCATGTCCATAAAAGTCTTCTCAGAGAAGACCTTGATCTGACCTAGGATCACCTCATCCAGAGCCTCCAGAGCTTTCTCCTGCACAGAGCTCTCAGAGTCCATCACGGCCGAACACACACCCTCCAACCAGGCCTTCTGCACGTCACTGCAGCCAGGCTTTACCTGGACCAGCAAATGATGGACCTTTACTCTTCAGGAAGTCTTGTGAAAGCAGCAATGCCAAACAATACATATATACAACATTTCAGGTGTGCTACCAAAAAACACCAAAACAGGTAGAGACCAAAAACATATACTGTTTGAAGAACAGTAGAACAGTAGAAAGTAATGACAACAAATATATATCAGTAGTAGTGGTAGTTACTGTAGCTCGTAGGTAGTCGAATAGTAATAATCTGATATGAATTTGTTAATCTTTTTATCCCAATGTTTTTCATATCCTTTCCCAGAAGTGATACTCACAGACAGCAGCTCCCCGACACACTGCAGAGCTTTCTTCTTTACAGACACAGCCGGGTCTCTACAGCGAACCGCCAGGACACTCAGGTTCTCCCATGTCGAAGAAACTACGTTGTGCTTCAACAGTCCCATCACAGCCTACCATGAACAACAGTTGGTTTTAGTGGTGCCAATACCAAGATAAAGCCTTGTTGCTCTATAACAATTCAATACTACCATGCAGATAAAATTACTAATAAACAGTATTATGTAATTTTTTAGACAAAATAATAGTGTTATTACCATGTGGTTTTATTCAAGTTTAATATAGCGCAAGACAGTTTTAAAATTATTTAGGAAAGGTCCAATGTAGTCCTATTTATGTAGATTTATATTATTATTTTTCAGTGTCAATACCTGTTCAGATAAATATCTGAATCTGTAAGACAAATTCCATTTCTGTGCTGCATTGAGGGCTCTCACTGCCAGCTCAGTCCTTGTCAGCTTGGCCTATGTCATCTGAGGTATAATACTCCCTACAACTGAAGCATAGCCAGACTGGACGGTACTAGACTAGAATGGACAACACTATCACAATGTGTTGATGTTGGGTGCTTTGTCCTTCACTGACAGTAAAATAAACTCCTGCCTTAGAACTCCAGTGATATGCCTCTTCTCTTCAACTCTCAAGCTACTGCCATTTATTCTAAAACAGTATGCAGTTTAATGATGACAGAAAACAGGATTTACCTGTAAAGCAGACTTTCTCACATTTGTGTTAGTGTGTTTAACACGACGCAGAAGATGTTCCAAGTTCACTTTTCCTTTTAGGAAAAAGTAAACAAAATGTAATTAATTAAGACAACATAACATAACATAATGCAATGAGACAGCACTGGTTTGATAAATGCAATAAAATACCTTCACAAGCAGAGCTGTCAGTGTTGCTGAGCTCCACAGTCCTGAAGGGAAGTGTACGGTAAGTTTGAGTCTGATGTGAAGTGACACTTCCTAAAACAACAACAGAAACACAAACAAGGAATCACATTACAAATATTTTACATTTACATCATTACAGCAACAGCTCACCAATTGGACCATTTTGTTTTCCTGTCCATGTAAAATATTTGAACTTCATATGTGATCATGTGATTGATGCATAGTGTATCTTTTATCAATATTTCTATTTACTGCACTCCATAAAAAGAGTCTAAGTTTGTGAACATCTATATTACTATCTCATTTGTCTTTATGGTGTTTATGGTGAAAAGGTGTTCCTCACCTTCGGTTGCCTGAGTATGAAGTTCAGACTGGCTCCCAACTGAAAAAGCAGAGGGACAGTGGATGACAAAGCTCCATGGGGTTTTTAAGTATACGAGTGAATGTCTGAGCACTCACTTGTGGTAAACAGGCCTTGTACAGCTCTGGTTGCATTCATCGAGGGCAGCTCCAGACACTGGGCCAGGCAGGCGAGAGCGTGTCCCTGGACTGTGGGAAACACGTCCATCCTTCGAGCGAACAACACCTCCTGAATCAGGTATTTGTGCGGAAGATACTGCACCAGTGCAGCCTCACAACCCTCAGGGTTTCTTTCTGGTTGCTCCAGCAGAGCCATCACCACATCCACCGAGAACAAGCGGCCTGCCATCTACAACAAGTACTATTTATTCTCCACTAAAGACCATTATGTAAAGGAATCTGTACATTCACACTTACGGTGCAAGTTAGCATATCAGATAAAATGTGTACTCAGTTAACAGTTCAGGTATAGATGACAAACTTTCTGAGGTAACTGAGATTATCTGAATTTGACCAAAAGACAAACCAATGCTGAAAGTGGGAGATTTCTCTAAACTCAGTTTAGTTCGACTGAGGGAGATTTCTCTAAACTGAGTTTTATTTGGCCATTTAGTGGCCTATTACATCATGAGCTGTTTGTAACAGGCATTTTAAGCAAGGCTTGATGGTTTGTGTAGTTAAGAAGAACCCTTACCTTTGAATTTTGAGAAAAATTAGCCAGCCATCGGACGAACCAGGCGTAGCCTGGACTGGACATGAGTGCAGCGAGTCTCCCCACAGCCTGTGCTCCATGGCTGCGAAACTCACTTTTCTCCACCATCTGTAACAATACAGTTCCACAAATCAAAGTCAAATCAACACTTATTTTGGGAAGTTGTATTTTGAGGCATTTCTAAAAAGTAATTCATAGTTGTATTGGAGGTTTTATTGCAGTTATTTGGTTTCACATATTGCCATTAGTGAGTGCTTTGGTGACTTACTACTGACCTGAACACAGATGTGCTGCAGGAGGATTCGAACACATGACAGTGCTAACTCTTTCATCTCATTCACCATATGACTGTAATAAAAACCTAGAATTAATCCATGTAGTTTATTTTCATTTAGTAAATTTGACAAAAAGTAGATAGCTGACATGACTAGTCCAATGGTCAATTGAAATTTAAAAAACATTCCATGTATACTTTAGGTATAATTTACAATAAACATCAAACTCTTAAACAGTTTACAGTCAATTTAAAATCTAATTTATGTAATTACTGAGAAGGACCTGAATAGGGTGTTTACCAGACAAAATGAATGGCCTGATTACGGGCAGCAAGGACACCCTGGCTCACAGCCAAGAGTGTAGGCTTAATGCTGCTGGTCTTGTTCATCATCAGGATCACGTAGAGCAGTTGGTGAAATATCCGGATCAAGGACTGAACAAAAGAAGCACATCATTTTCATTAATGTGATGGCATGTCATAATTATGGATTCATTCAAGCATAGTCTTTTTTTTCATAGAAACTATATCTTAAACTTGATTTAAGGAATGTAATATGTTGATCAGCTCACTGGCAAAGCACATGTTTGAACTCAAAACATATGTATTCCCTGTACATTTCACTTTTTATCATGGAGTCTTCAGAGTCTTGGAGCAGTTAACCAGTTGACCACTGGCGAATTGTCACAGCATGGACCATTATACTTATATTATACTTTACATTATACTTTGTTTTCTTTGTTTAATAATTATGAACCAAAATAAAATGTTGTTTAGGCTTGCATACTTTAGGAAATACTAACTGTTAATTCTATGTTTAATAATCCTTCTCAGACAGTAGTACAGCTCATTAGTTTTCATAATATTGTAAAACATGACAATTAATTGGCATCATTTTTCTTATAAACTAAAGTTAAACTAAAAGAAGAGAAAATACAATATGAGCTCTTTGGGGCTGCAAATATTAAATTCTTAGACTGACTTTTTCCTGATGCCCATGTTTTGGAGAGTAGAGAAGCTGCAGTCCGTGGAAGGCCATCTCAGGAACACTCCTCATATTACTGATATTTCTGTAGAGACAATGACCTTAGTATCCTGCTGTTTTCTAAATAATTTCACAATTACTTACTGTTCAGCAAAGTTGATCTCCCCAATGATGGGCTCAAAGTACAAAAGTTTGATGAACACCTGCAAACAGAGCAGAGGGTTTAGATGTCAGATTAATACTACTCTAATATAATCTAATCTAATCTCAAGGCTCTAATACTGAAGGCAGTTTTGGACCTGGGTGCAGTTCCTGGCACTCTGTTCAAGGTCTTTGAGAGAAAATATCTGCAGGAGTCTGAATAGGCTCCCAACTAACAAGACCACAGCAGCTCTAATCTCAACCAGGTCCTGGCCAGAAAAGTGTTCTGCTGCATCCTTTTCCTCTTCGTCCTCCTCCTCTTCTTCATCAAAGTTCTGAGAAAACAGCAGCAGCTCTCAACACTAAGGTATCAACTGCTAATATATTTCGTGAGGTTGTCAATGGCAACAGTGGTTTGTACCGTCTGTGTGTCCTTGCGCCGTGGTTTGGCTCTTTTTCCGTCTGCCTGGGAGCCCTTGGGTGGTTCTTTTTTACGTTTCTTTCCCATATCCTGAGGCCAGCAGTGTATCCAAATGTCTGTGCACATGTCCAACAAGTCCCCATGGAAAGCCTTGTTGGCAATGCTTCCTGAAAGTAGTATACATAAACTGTTAACTGATGATCAACAAATAAACAAGTTCACTACTTCTTGTTGAGCTTTTCAAGGGATTCTTCCAAAAGTGCAACACATCCTGGCATTGCAGACCTGAAAGCTGTTGAAGTTACTCAGAGAACTGACAGATGCGATTCAAGCCATTCTATATTAACTTTCCTCTAATCAAATTTTTAATTGAATGATTAATTAGCATACACACATAAAAGAACATGATGTCTTGTTAGTAGAAAGTTGCTACCTGGCAATCCAAGAAGCAGTAGATACAGAGAAGCAGCATGTAGAGCATTGACCCTCTGTTTAACACTGGCATTTTTGGACTTTCCACCAAAGACAAATAAAGACAGTACAGCAACCAGAGTCTTCACCGAGATGCCGTTCTCTTGCAGCATTGCCCACACACTCTGCAATAGCAGAAGGTCAGTGAGGTCATCACAGAGCTTCCTTAGATTTAGACAAACTTTACTGACCCACAAGGGAAATGATCTGGACACAGTAGCTCTCACATCACAATAAATATAATAACAAACAGCAAAAATATCAATGTTCATAATAAATTCAAAAGAATATATAATAACAATAATAGCAATAGAAAAGAGGGGTACGTGATTTGTCAAAAACATGAAGCTCATAAATTATTACAGTTAAAGTAATAATTCTCCTTGTAGCCTAAGGTAAAAAAAAAAAAACAAAAAAAAAAAAACAAAAACATGAGGCTAAGTAGGATAATGTTACACTGAATACACAGTAAAAAGCATTTTGGAGTGTACAGTGTTAAATAAATGCAACAGTGGTTACTTGTTCTGTTTTTGCATCCTCTTGACTGAACACCAGCAAACTATCATAGAGTCTTTTGAAATCTTTGGGGCGGAGGGCTGACAGCTCCTCTCCTACAGGATCATCAATCTCCTTTCTTTCTGTGAACTCCAGGGCCCATACTGCATCCGTCCAGGCTGGAAAACACACATATGGCCATTATTTACATTCACAAGAAACCTTTTTATTTATAATTATATCTATATCTAGAGAGATATATCTCTATATATCTATATCTCTCTCTCTCTCTCTCTATCTCTCTATATATATATATATATATATATATATATATATATATATATATATATATATATATATATGCTCACAATGGTAATTTTAATAACATTTAACCAGGGAGCGGAATGTAAGATATATGTGGAAAATATCACCTTGTCAGCTATATAAGATACCACAAAATGCAAGTATTATTAATATATAAATTGCATTTAACACAATATTAGGTCAGCCTTCTTATCTTTGAAAGCTTTCGAGGGGATGAAATGGGTATTATATGGGTATTATAAATGGGTATCTATTTGAACTTTATATCGATTTGGATTGGGGACAATTTTAGTAAATATGCTACTTTTCCCATAATAAATGTTTATGCTATGTGAGGAAAGTACACAAACATCTTTCGCAGAGAAGCATCAGCCCGTAGATAACATTATGGCACTGACAACTATTAGAACATTCACCCACAATAAAAGAAATCACCTCTGCCGCAGATAACACCATTTAATACTATGCAAAAGTGGTTAACATCTGTTCACACTGCAAGTGAAAATGTGCAGGAATTATATTTACCTTCAGAAATTTCGTTTAATCGGAGGAAACGCAGCGCTGTTATTAACTCCATTTTTGACTGCCCGTTTTGAAATTAGCCCGCGCCGCGCGCGCTCCAGCAAAGACAAGCGTTTGCGCATGTGCACATTTTCTTCTTCTTCTCTTCTTGCCTGTGACCCATGGTGACGGCGTCACCTACTGTAGTGTAGGGTGAAGTGGGGCAAACTGGACCACTTTATAGATTATTATGTGAAAATATTTTAAGGTGACGTATAGAAAGCTCTATAGGAGATCTATGGCATTGAACTGTGTTATTATAGGTTATAAAGACGATAATTTACCGGATTAAAATGGGCCACACTGTTGCTAAAATGGGTCACAAAGATTTGCAGCATTTATAATATGAGGCTATGGGCTATTGCATTACATTACATTATTTGTTCACAGTTTGCACTGAAATTAACCAAGCAGATTTCTCTGCTCATCCACTTGGAGCTCTGGACTGCACAACGTCAGTTTTCACTGATCAGACCAATTTCTTTTTACTTGTGTAAAAAGAAATTGGGGTGTTCACACCAAAGCGTCAAAAACGCCTTGATGCCTCTATTTGGATGCCTTTGAACGCCCCCGACGCGCGTCTTTGACACTGTGGATGAACGGGAGAGGTGAGTCTTCTTGTTTGTGAATTCAGAATCATTATTGCAATAATAGACTGCTGTTCGTTTGAAAATGTTGGATGAATGAATGCTGCCGCTGCTGCTGGGTGTGTAGTTACTCTGAGCTCTGATTCACGTTTATGCAATGTGCAAAGTGGTTTGAAATAAATAAAGTGATGGCGTGATGAGTTTCAAATGATAATGATGTTTTCATTGAAAGGAAATCTATTTCACTCCGTGGATGTGTTTTAAACGATGTCTCACTCTACGACGGTACGACGGAGTATAAGGGTCAGATAAAATAAATAATAAAATGCTTGTGCTACGAGAATAAAGTCGTGATTTTACGAGAATAAAGTCATATTTTTATGAGAATAAAGTCGTAATTTTATGAGAATAAAGTCATAATTTTACGAGAATATGGTCGTAATTTTACGAGAACAAATTCGTAAATTTACGAGAATAAAGTCGTAAATTTACAAGAATAAAGTAGTAGTTTTATGAGATTAAAGTCGTAGTCAAAATAAAGTCATAATATTATGAGAATATCGGCTGCTTGGAAAGTCTGAACGAGTGGAGAATGGAGAATTTGGAGCATTTTGTAATGGAGAAGAATCCGTGTATCATTCGTTCATTCGACTGAATCAGGACTAAATCAGGTCCGGAACCAAACCAGAAAGACCAGGATTGAGACCGGGGCCAGACCGGGACTGAAAACGGTTTAGTCCTAGTTTAGTCCTGGTTTAAGTCACGGAAATGGCGTTTCCGTGACTTTAAAATATATATATATATATATATATATATATATATATATATATATATATATATATATATATATATATATATATATTTTTTTTTTTTTTTTTTTTTTTTTTTATTAATTTTTTTTTTTAATCTGACCCTTATACTCTGTCGTAGTACTGAAAAAGGTGGATTATAAAAGAAGATATGAAGGTCCAGCCTTGTGTCCTGAAACTGTCTGGTAAAAGGAAACTTACAGAAAGTCAATTTTTGAAAACAAATGCAAAACGCATCTCAAATAAAATCTCTCTATATTTTGATGTGTGAAAATATAATTTATCATAAAGTGTGAAACCATGGAGAGAAATGTGTTTTTCAAACGTAACAAATTGCAGTGAAAAGGTGTAGAAATGTACACCACGCTTGGGTCAATGAACTGGAACACAATGACTCAGAATTATATGAAATGAATGGTACATTAGTGGGAATTAAATGATCACTTTCCAAACATGAATGATATAAGGATGGTACAGGACCAGCCATAAAATACTCACTCAAACCTGCAAATTTAAACAAGTGCAACACAAAAAGTGGAAAGGTATCATCAAAGGTTTCAAATGGGATGAAAACCTACTTGGAAAATAAAAATCTCTCATGTCCTTGAAATTTAAAACAGTACAATCCAGTTGTACAATGGTCATGGTAACCCTCAAATCCTAAAACATCTATTCACTCTTTTTATTCTTTACCTTGTGTCCTCTCAAAACAAGATCTGAATGCTGAGGATTTTAATGGCTCAGATTTGGGCCTAAACAGGTCCATATGTGCCATATTCTACACTTTTATGGAGATTGCGTGGTCTCTTATGGGTTGATCTGGTCTAAATGTGGACCAGATTTTAAAACAAAAATGACATGACATGAATGAAATTAATCTAAATGTACAATGAACACACACCCCTTCATAAGATCATAAAACCTATATTCTGTACCATTTCAGGCATGACTGACACTGACCCTTGTATCACATCAAAACACGGTCTGAATATACTGATGTACTAATGACTTCAGATTTGGGCCTAAACTGGTCTAAATGTGTCATATTCTACACACACATGTATGGAGACTGTGTGGTCTGTGGGTTGATCTGGTGGACTAAATGTGGACTAGATTTTAATGTTTAATTTCCACAGGTGGCACTTGGTTTTGGGTCCTTGTATTGCATATGGTGTGAGCTGGTCCAAATTTGGACAAACTGAATAACTAGTGTGACCAGATTTTCTCATTCAAAAACTGAAACACCCCCGGTTTCGGTTGGTTGGTAATAATAAAACTGAAACAATTGCATAATTAAGGAAAATTGTTATGCACTCAGACCACCTTGCTGGAAGAGTTTACCTACACTGTGTGATTTGAATTGAATGTCCGTTCGCGTTCCCTCAAAGACACAAAGGTGAATATAAAACTATTTTGCTGAAATACACTAGTATTTTGTAATTTTTGTTTCAAAATTTTCCTTTGTGTTTGCAGGTTTGGGTGGTGTCCTGTAACCCTTCTACAGAAATCAGTTTATTATTATCTTTGATAAATAGTTCATAGTTAATCTAAGTTAAATCTACTTCATGTATTGCAACTGTGAGACATGAAAATCATCTGCAGCAACTGTAGCAGATGTTAGTTTATTTTATTTGAAAGCAGCTAAAGCTAAAACATGTCTGCCATATGTTACTGACTAAACTTCAAGTTTTCAGGTTTTAGGTTGGTGTCTAACCCTTTTACAGCCTGCTCTGTTATATCTACTACTGTTAAATAAGCTAAAGAGTGCTTCTAACCAGTGAAAAATGAACCTTTGCCTCCATCTGAAGTTAAAAAGGACCCAAGAACTAAGAAGAAGAATGGAAAATCTATTATCAGAGGCTATGCTCCAAAATATGGACTGAAAGAAGGAATTGATGCAGACCCCCTTGCTGGAAGAGTTTACCTAAACACTGCTTTGGGTTGAACTTCAGCCAGCTTACCCCCAAACACACAAAGGTGAATTTAAAACTATTTTGCTGAAATACACTACTCTTTAAGAAACAGCTAAGTGAAATCATGCTTTGTTGAAAACTGCTAAGATAGTTTTAGGTGCGTACTCCCAAGATTAAACACTTCTTGTAATTTGTTACTGTTTCCTTTGTGTTTGCAGGTTTGGGTGGTGTCCTCTAACTCTTCTACAGGTATCAGTTTTATTAATATCATCATTGTTAAATAGTTCATAGTTAATCAAAGATAAATCTACTTCATGTCTTGCAACTGTGAGACATGAAAATCATCTGCAGCAACTGTTGCAGATGTTAGTTTATTTTATTTGAAAGCAGCTAAAGCTAAAATGCGATGACTGTCATTTTACTTACTCTTCAGTTTTCAGGTTTTAGGTTGACGTCCAACCCAAAAATTCTAATCCAACCCTTTTCGCAAGTTGTGCCTATTTTGTAATGTCTAGTATTGCTAAGATAAACCATGCTAACTTTAGTTGTGTAGCCTACTGCTAAGATAAACATGATTGTAACATGTAACTGTCTAACTCTTGAGTTTTCCAGTTTTTGCCCTGGCTCTATCTGAAGACAAAGCTGCAAATGGACCCAAGAAGGTAAAAACCTCAGAGACAAATTGCTGAACTAATCAAGAAAAGAATGTTTTCAAAGACTATAATCAAAAATATGGAATGAATGAGAATTTCTGTAACACTGGAGGAATTCAGATTTGGACCCATTCCAGAGAAAGGATACACACTGAAGTGCAACAATTGCAGCACCAAATACGCTATTAAGTCAAAGCATTAAAATATTAAAACAGGGCCAAACAGAAGTGAAGAATCCCGAACACAAACTGCTGGACAAAACTGGACAAAGAGGAAAACCAAACAACTAAAAATAGGATTCTAAAGTCATTAATGCAAAGAAACTTTTCTAATGGGATTTTTGCACAAAAGCATGTAATGTTGATGGGAGCCCAAAAGAAGGAAAGACCAAAGAAAATGGAACCAAATGGAGAAACTCACATCTTTTTAAAACCCGAGCATTTAGACTAATCTTGGGGTACAGTATTTTAGTTGTCCCTTTTGGGGGAAATTCACCCTCTGCCTTTGACCCATTCAACATCAACAAAGTGCTGCTGGGGCAGCCTGTCAGGAGCATTGAGCTGCTGCCATACACCTGTGCAGATTCTGCACAGAAAGTAACCTTCCTGCTGTGAGTGAGTGCTCAGCCACTCATCTTGACTTGAGTTTTGGTCCAAGGGTTGTGTTCTGTCACTTTTTTGTGGTCTGAATGTAATAGTTCTGACCCTTTAACATTGGATTTGTGACCGACATAATCTTACAGGGAACTTTCCCTGCTGCAGGTTTCACTGATTTTATTGGTCTGTCAATGCAGACTTCAACTCAGGTAGGTGATGTTTCTGTGTGCATCATCATCTCAAAACAAGGCTTGAATAGGCTGGGGTTTTGCTACAGTGTAAGGCTTTAGTTTTAGGCCTGAACTGGTCTGAAAGTGAGCCATGTTCTAAACGTTGGCTCACTTTTATGGAGACTGCTGGTCTCTTTTGGTCTGATCTGGTCTGAATGTGGGCCAGATTAAATGTTTACACCATAATTTCCACAGGTTGCATTTGGGCTTGGGCCCTTGTGTGTTTTTGGTGTGTGTCTCGACTGGTCTAAATATGGGCCAGATTTAAACAGGCTGGTAAAACATGTTGTTGGGTGAAACTGAAATTACTTTTTGTCAACTAAGCCTTGAACAGTTTCATTTGGAGTTAAAATAGTCTGAAAACTGACTTGAGCTTTGGGTTGTGTGTATGTTTTATATTTGGTTTGCTCTGAACTGGTTTAAACGTGGGCCAGGTTTGGACTGCTTTATAAAGTGTGAGGGCTCTGGTCATTTCCCTTACATTAAAGTGAAAGTCATTCAGTTGTATTCTAATCCAACTCTTCCACAGGTTTGCACAGAGTCTGTTCATTTTAACTAGTTTGAAATACGGTGACATTTCTTTTTAAACATTGTATTAACTTTACAGGGTTAAAAGTTAAATATCATATTAATATTGCCATTGTGTATGCTGTAAAATTGTTTTGGGCTTGTCTTGTGAAATGACAGTTCTAACCCTAACTCTTCTGACTCTTCTCATATTTGATCTGAACTGTTTTACTTAACTTTTAAACTAGTTTTCAGAGGTTCAGAGGCCGCTTTTTATGGTGAGTATGTCTGCAAGCACTTACTAACACACTAAATCTATACAAGCACAGGCGGTGGGTCTAATCCAGCCACAGCTGCCTCCTTTAGCCTGATCTTAAAGTGTGTATGGTAGCTTTTTCCAATTATTTTTACTTGGTTTGGTGAAATTTACTTGTGGTGAATATTTATCATAGTTTTAACATCAGTTTTGTCTTAGTTTCTGTACACAAGTTGAAAAGAAATGTTGAAAAATAAAGAACGTAGTGGTTCTAAAAGGAATACGTCTGTTATCAAAACTTTCAAAAGCAGGGATAACTGAGCTATTGTGTCATTTTAGACATGCCCCTTTTTCACGGTATGGTTGCTGGGTAAAAGTTATGAAATTGGCTCTGTGTCTGCTGTCTGTGTTCAACCAGGAAATAAAACTAGAAATCTTCATAAATATAATTGTTAACATGCCATATGCACTTTAATATACTGACTGTACCAGTTTAAATGTGTCATTTATCTTGTATCTAACCCTAACCCTTTAAAGTCATATTTATAGGTTTGATTTAGTCAGCCATTACCAAAATGCCTATTCTGTTAGAATGAAAAGAACATCTGTAAACTATTCTGTAAATCTGTAAATATTGTAATGTTGAATAAAATGTGTAATGTGTGTAGAATTCAGAAAGAAAACAAAAAAATATTAATGAAATATGGAGAAATCTGACGGCTGTGCTATACTTTTTTTTATTTTTTTTTTACTTTTGACTGAGTTTTACAGAGGGAAACCTAAGACCCAAGTATCCTGCGTCGCCCAGAGCAGTGGCGCAAACAGAAACCCACGGTTACAAAATACATTGCTTGTTTTTGTCCATAAACCAGGTGTCCTTTTTTATGACTGTGACCAGATTTATTGAAATTTCAGATAAATTTAAATTGCCTTTGATTTCACCTTTGAGTCTCAGTCCCTTATTTTTAAATAAGCTGAAAACGACAGAATGAAGGTTTTCATTACTAAGTCCCACTTGATTGTTTTATGAGATTATGAGGCTATTTAATAGTTGTTTAATATTTGTTTAATAGTTGCTATGGTAACGGGTAGCCTGTGTTGTTTTCAGGTTTTTCTATCATGTCAATTGTTAAACGTGCTGTGATACTCAGATAATAATCTTTTTAGGTTTTTAATTGTATTTTTTAGCTGAGGTTTGTACTTTTGTCTCATAAGAGCTCAGTTATTGAATAAATATCTGTGAGCCCGGGCTCGTTTTCCGCAGACGATCCAAAGACATGAGGCGGAGAAAGAAGCTGAACTTTCACCCGAAGCACCGGAGTGGATCTACGAGACACTGGTACAAATACACGGTACAAACACAATCGGAGTATCGCCGTCCATTTATGGAAGTGTAAGATCTTATTACAGATCCATGCCTCCATAACGTTTATCAGATTATTAGATTCACACGCAGCTCTATTCAGGTTAGTCTCGGGTTTGCGCAAATTTTATTACCCAGTGTTTTGTAGTTTCTATTAGGTGTGCGCGGGCGCATATCTATATAAAGACGGGTTCAAAATTGTGTTCAAAAAAGAAAAATCAACAGTGGTCACAGATGCAAAAATGAAGCACATCAAGAAAAGAACACTATCCCTACTGTCAAGCACGGAGGAGTCTTGGTTATGTTCTGGGGACTGTTTTGCTGCATCCGGCACAGGGTGTCTTGAATCTGTGCAAGGTACAACGAAATCTCAAAACTTTGTGTTTTGGAACGAAATGTGTTGACTAGTGTCAGAAAGCTTGGTCTCAGTCATAGGTCATGGGACTTCCAACAGTTTAATGACCCAAGACATACAGCTAAAAACACCCAAGAATGGCTAAGAACAAAACATGGGACTGTTCTGAAGTGTTCTTCTGTGATCCCAGATCTCAATCCTACTGAACATCTGTGGAAGCAGCTGAAACATGCTGTCTGGAGAAGGCACCCTTCAAACCTGAAACAACTAGAGCAGTTTGCTCATGAGAAATGGGTCGAAATATCTGGGTCAAAATACCAGTTGACCAGTGCAAAACACCTGTTGACCAGTGCAAAAGTCTCATTGACATTTACAGAAATAATTTGTTTGCAGAGTTTGCCTCAAAAGGTTGTGCAACAAAATATTAAGTAAAGGGTACCATCATTTTTGTCCAGGCAAGTTTAATTATTTTGTTTTTTTTTCTAATGATTCTGTTGAACAACAGGTGGTTGGTTATTATTGCTTTTATCAGTTTTCAGTTTTCAAGTTATTTCAGTGTGTATGTATGTATGTATGTATGTATGTATGTATGTATGTATGTATGTATGTATGTATGTATGTATGTATGTATGTGTATAGGTATATGTGTGTATATATGTGTGTGTGTGTGTGTGTGTGCGTGCGTGCGTGCGTGCGTGTGTGTGTGTATTTGTAGGGTAGGTTTGAACTAAATGTTTTGTGTGTTTTTGTGGCTAGGTCGACCCTGTTAAAGATTTGTTACATGGTGAATTACCTTTGCCTAGTTTTTGTTTATTTATTTATTTTACTGTTTATCTGTTTGTTTGAATATGTAAAATCCAATATTCAATACATAATAATGAGTGATGTAATACAGGTACATAATACAGGTATGATAAATAATGGCCCTGTTAAATAAGAAATCTGAGGGGGGAAGAATATTTAATAACAGTGTATTTAACAAATAATTACAGGTGCAGAATGAATGTTACCTCTACTAATTCAGTAATAATCTCCTGTGCAATGTTCCTGATTATGTATTTCACGTTCTATGTTGAGTATAATATAAACAAGTTGGTATTTTCTAAAGTCTTTGGACCTTAAACGAAGTAGCTAGTGGTTTAGTCCGTACTGGCGCGAAAGATCTTAGCCCCACCTACTACAACTTCACTGCTGTCATAAATTTAGCAAAAATGTTCAACTATAATACCGGAAATGTGACAATAGTTTCTTTAACAATAAGACGGTTCAAGGGCTGACATCATGAGAAAGTCCACATGAAACATTATTTTGAAAGGCAGCAAACCGGAAAAGTAATTAATGCAATCTAATCTTACATGTTAAACAACGTGAGAGGCGTGTGGACTTCTGCAGTATCAAAAACTTACACAAGAAGCTTACCCCGACCTTTTATCGAGTCAAAAAAGAGTAGATTTTTGTTTTACAGCAGCAATTTACGCTTTACACGACTATCAAGAGGTTGCCGATAAGATTTGCACTGTAGTTTTTGATTGGAAAGGTGCTAAATTCGGAATTATGAGCAGGTGAGTAGGCTTATTTGTATCCTTTTTCAGTTTCATTAACTTGTAAAAATGTACATTTTGAAAATGTCCAACTTCTAACACTTAAAGACTGGGATAAAAGCAGTTCTTAGTAATATTTCTACATGTTTAACAGTATTTACATGCATTTGTTACCAAAGTGTTACATCACAACTTCGTAGAGATTGGAAGCACGAGAAATTCAGGCTATGGAGTTTCTAATACCCATACCCTATTACCAATACCCAGTGTATGGAGTTACCTTGCAATACAGATGCTGTATTCGCACTTAGGCATAGACTTGCACCGTGTGAATACAAATTGTCCATTTACTCCATATGCCACGCTGCTATTGTAGCATTGGCAAGACTACACCCACCTTGCCTCTGTGTTATGAATGAAAGTGTTAAGTGTATGATTTAATGGGTCAGAATGTTAAAAAGCCAAGAAGCAGGGCAGCTGCTGTCTACCTCAGGGTAGATTTTATTATAATAGTTAAATCTATCTTACAATCAGTTTTGAGTGACTGAATACAGTTTGAATATGCTTGTGCTGTTTGTCTTGTTCACCAGTGTGAAGAAAGAAAATCGCAGTGGGTCACCTCAGTGCCCTGAACCTGATGAGTCTGAGAAGCCTACTGGGACCAACATGGAGACTAGAGATGCTAATGGTACTTTCCAGAGGCTCACATTTGGAGTGTGCGCGAGCAATGTGGTCAGCTAACGCAGCTTTGTTTTGTGACTATAGGAATTATTGTGAAAACTGAGTCAGCCAACTCAGATGTTCTCATTACGAAAGAGATGGAAGCTGAGGAGCAGCATCTAATGGAGGAAGGAGAGCGCAAAGAGAGGGAGATGATGGAAAAGGTCAGATAAACAAACGTTTTTCCTTATAAAGCCTGTGTAAGTCACTGGGCCCATTTATCTGTATTAAACAAGAAGAAACATGTTTTCATTGTTGTTTTCTTCTGTGAAATGGCTGTGGACCATGTGATCCAGTACATTCATTTATCACACTATAGTCCCAGAATACTTTTGAATGTTGATTTTAGTATTTAGCATCCTAAAATCCTCAATTGGTTTAATGGGTTTAGTCCAAATTTTATATGTCATGACATAATCTCGAGCTCTATGATGTATAAGGTTACATTGGAAGTTAATAGACCTAAACTGGCTCAACTCTGATCTCTGTAGCACATAAAATGAGAGGAAAATTACAATCCTATCTTTAGGCCCGACAATCTCGAGAGAGGGACTGCAATGAGATGCGCTTCAAAAGGCTCCAGCACCTGCTTCAGAAGAGCAACATCTACTCCAAGTTCCTGCTGACCAAGATGGAGCAACAACAGAACGAGGTATGTCTATGAGACCTTTAATAACAATTAAACAATTAAAGAAACAAATATGGACAGTGAACTATTTTTTTTTTTTTTATATCTATCACTATAGGAAAAAGTCAAGAAGGAGAGACTTGAGAAGAAAGCAAAGAAAGTGAGCTTTAAAGTGTTAATACAAACTATCACATATGTTTTTGAACTGATTATTATATCATTTTTATATTATTTGTTATAGTAATTTCTGTTTGTTATGCCTACAGAACTCAACTGCAGCTGAACCTGATAAAGGTGAGCAAAACTGTCAATTGAAAGTTATTAGAAGTTATTAGAAGTTACATGAATTGTTGAATTTCAATAAAATTCACTTTCCACATAGATAAAAGGAAGCGAAGAAGAGATGATGACTACAAAATTGCTGATGTCATGTCAAAAGAAGTAAGACTTTTTGATAGAGATGGTTTTGTTGATGCTCTGCCTAATCATTTCTCTTTGTCTTTTTCAGGATATAATGTCACAGTCAAAAAAAGCAAAAGTGGAAAAGGTAATTTTTAAAAAATTTTGTTTTAGAGCTATATTTATATTTGACTCTGATACAGGTCCGTACATGTTGAGATACTCATCTGTACATGAATAGATACTGGAGCCTTGTAGTAGATGATTTTGCTTGGAGGTAATTTTGTTATTTTACACACTTGCAGTGGAGTGTGTAAGATTTTTTTAAAACTAGATTTTTTGCCTACAGCCCGATTTTTGAAGATAAATTTGAATTTAAATTTATAGAACCTTCATTTACATTTAAAACAAAAGATGCATGAACTGCATTGTACAGTGCAACAACAAACTTCGTGTCTCCATTAAAATCTTTTTTTTTTTCCTTGTCAAAATACAGTTTAATTTTTTTTTTTTTTTATTGTGACAGCATTATATGGGACAATTTGAATGTGTATGTACTCCATTGCAGGATGACACGTCTGAACAGAAGTCACTGGAAGCTGAAGACCTTGAGAATATGAGCGAGTCAAATGAAGCCATCAAGAATCGTCTCTCTGAGGCTGTCCGGGACAAGGCCAAACACCTCCTGGACCCCTCACGCACAGTCAATGGAGAGCCTATCCCCTACCAGCAGCCTGCTCTCTTTACTGGAGGAGTCATGAGGTGGTACCAGATTGAAGGAATTGAATGGCTAAGGGTAAGCATGCAAATCCGGAAATCCTCATTTTCATGTACCATTTTACTTCTAATTACTTAGTTAGTCTTGGCTTTGCCTATATTTCTGACTGTGTTAATCCTAATTGGTGTCATAATTTAAGCCGTTGGAGTTATGTTTCTGGTGTTTGGGTCCAGATGCTGTGGGAAAACGGAATTAACGGGATTCTGGCCGATGAAATGGGGCTGGGAAAGACCATCCAGTGCATTGCTCACATCGCCATGATGATCGAGAAGAAGGTGCTAGGGCCCTTCTTGGTGGTGGCTCCTCTGTCCACGCTGCCCAACTGGATCAACGAGTTCAAGCGCTTCACCCCTCAGGTAACAGCCTAGAAGATCGCAGCTTTCTCTAATGTTAAATATAGTGTATTCCACCTATCAGATAAGCACCTTTTTTTCTCTACATAGTGTTTCCTGTGAGCTGCTCTTCTCTCTCTAATTTGTATTAGGCACTATTGTATTTGACACTAAAATTGATAATCCATCACAAATCTGAATCACATTATGCAGTAGAGCAGAAGGAGAAAGCCAGTTAACCTGCTAATTTCCCCAGTGGTCCCCAGAGTTTTTATGACTGCATGATTTGCAGGTGTCAGTAGTGTTGTACCACGGGCCTCAGGCAGAGAGGGCAAAACTACTGAAACAAATCCGTCGACCCCATGAGCCCCTAGGCATGTGCCCGGTGGTGGTCACCTCCTTTGAGATCTCAATGATCGACAGGAAATGCCTCCAGGTTTGTTTGATTTTAACAATCTTTATAGGGCTATTTGCTTTATTTTAAGCAGAAGACAATATTCAGATCAGCTATGTTAAAACATGCATGTAAATGTCTAGGTTGGACCACAAAAAATGGTCTGTCTGCTCCAGTATTTTTTTATTTTGCATATTTAAAAAAAAACAAACTATTCTATAAATAATGATGGAGATGTGTTTTCAGCGTTTTCAGTGGAAGTATCTGATTGTGGATGAAGGCCACAGGATCAAGAACCTGAACTGCAGGCTGGTACGAGAGTTAAAGATGATGCCTACAGACAACAAACTGCTGCTGACAGGGACTCCTCTGCAAAACAACCTGGCTGAGCTTTGGTCCCTGCTCAACTTTCTCCTGCCAGAGGTCTTTGATGACCTGAAGAGGTCAGCTCTGTGTTCTGTAATCCTAACCTTATCATTCACCTTTGACTGTATGTGTTCATTTCTGTGTTTGTCTGTGTGCAGCTTTGAGTCCTGGTTCGACATTGACTCTCTGGGAGAGGCAGAAAGTCTAGTGGCATCTGAACGTGAGCACAACATCCTCAGCATGTTGCACCAGGTCAGTCCAGCCTCTATAAAACCCACACATCATCCCCTGTATAAGGATGACCACAGGAATCCTGCACCTTCTGACACTAATATTAGAACTTTGTGGTCCTTGTGTGTAAAATGTTCCTGCATTTTTAGATGGAATTCTGTGTTTTGATTCCATAGAGCTTACTGCAAAATGTAGGTTATACTGTTACTTAAAAGTATTTTCAGTATTGTATCTCAAGATACGATATACATATTGATACGGTGCGTATCACAATACATAAGCATTGATACGAAACTGCTATGCATACACACAAGCTGCTATTACATGTGGTGGCTAAGGGTGTCAGTGTTCATATGTCAATGACCAATGGAACATTATCGCATGGAGCAGCAGATGTTCAATGTTATGTTAAAGCCAGCCCTGTATTTTCAGATTCTGACCCCATTCCTTCTGAGAAGGTTAAAGTCAGATGTGACTCTGGAGGTTCCTCCTAAAAAGGAGATCATTGTATATGCTCCCCTGACAGCCAAACAGGAGCACTTGTATACGGCTGTAGTCAACAAGACCATTGCCACAGTGCTGGGACAAGATAAGGTAATATTCTCTGCAAACTCCAGGTTAAAAATGTTTATATACAATTGTATTAAGTTTAATTATCTGCTATAGAAAGAAGAGCCAGTTGTGGTGACTTCTGTTGGTAGGCCAAAGCGACGAAGTCGAAGAGCAGTTGACTACAGTGAAACAGACCAAGATACTCCAGATGATCTGGAGAAATACCTGGAGAGGCTTCAGAAGGAGCAGGAACAGAGGTTGAGCCTGCTTTTTTCTTACTTTTATAACTGAACAAGTGCATTGCTCTGAGTCACACCAAAATGTTAAACCTCAAACCTGAATAATTAAGAAAGTGAAAGTGAAGTTAACTATGTGCAGAGTTATTACGCAACTACCGTAAATGGAAAAATGAACATTTTCCGTTCTCACTTGTTTCTTTTCATTTGTCAGAATAGTTGACCACTAAATTTACAAATAAACATTTCTGACATTAAAAAATAAAATAAAATCAATGACCAATATAAGCGCACTTCTTCTCAATAATGGTCATAAGCCTTCCATTCATGGAGTCTGTCATTTTCTTGATCTGTTGACAATCACACCCTCCCAGACACAGTTCAGAGAAGTGCTGTTTTTCTTCACTGTAAACCTCCTATTTAATAAGGGCCCACAAGTTCTCTGTAGTGTTTAGGTCAGGTGAGGAAGGGGGCCATGTTATTATACTTTGAGCTTTTACGGGCTGGCCACACAGTAGAGTACTTTGATGCATGCGCTGGAGCATTGTCCTGCAGAAAAATCATGATCCTCTTAAAAGAGGGAGACTCTTTCCTCTACTGTCCTGTGCTTGAAGAAAGGGTCTTCTAAAGTTAACAGTAGGTTTTGGAGTTCATTTTGAGTCCATTTTCAACCCGAAAAGGACCAACAAGCTTATCTTTATCAGCCTATACCAGTGTCCCACTCCCATCTTGCTGGCATCTGAGTCAAAGTGGAGCTCTGTGCCGATTACTGATCCAGCCACGGGCCCATCCATCAGGTCCATCAAGAGATACTCTCATCTCATCGGTCCATAAAACCTTTGAAAAATCTGTCTAAACATTTCAGCTTGTTTCTTGTTCAGTGGTGGGTTTCAGCCTTCCTTACCTTGGCCATGTCTCTAAGCACTGAACACTGAACTGTACTTTTGGGCACTTCAGGTAGGTTGCAGTTCTGGAATATGACAGTGCTGGAGGATAATGGGTTCCTGGTATCTTTATGCTGGATTCTTCTCAAATCTCATTCATTGCATTTAATTTGAGTATTTTTTTTTCTCTACACTTTTCTTGCAACACTGTTGACTATTTGCAACAAAACATTTTGTCATCATGCCCCAAGATCTTTGGAGTCAAGAGTGCTGCATCCTTCTGAAAGACTTTTTACAGTTTTTGACTTTTCAGAATCAGTTAAATCTCTTTTGGCCCATTTTCCCTGAGGAAAAGAAGCTGCCTAATAATTCTACATACCTTCATACAGGAAGGCCACACCCTCCCTCATTAGACAAATTCACACCACCGGATATGCTTAAATCAATTAAGAATTCAAGTTTATACAATATGAATTTGGAAAATATGTATCAAAATACCCACTTGCCCAATTGTGCACACAGCAAAATACAGAGCAAAGTATGTGTTGAAGTGACTTATTTTAATTTAGAAAATCTGTATTGGCCAATAAGCTTTATGTATTTCATCAGTTTGTTTGTTTTGTAAAATCTATATTTGCATCATCCCTGAAAAAACAGAATCATACTAGTCGTTCTTTAGCACAGCCATGGTTTGTGTAACTGTATGTGGTGAGATAGATTTTTGAGTCTTATCCAGTCTTATCTTTTTCTCCAGTCTGGCAGACTCCTCTGTAGTGGAGGTCCAGTGCCCCCTGGACGCACAAATCAACCTGAAGCTTCGGAACATCTTGATGCTACTGAAGAAGAGCTGTAACCACCCGTACCTGTTGGAATATCCCCTGGACCCAGCCACACAAGAGTTCAAGGTGACTTCCTAGACTGTTAACATCAGTTTCTATTCCATAGACTACAATGTTTCTGCAATTTTTGGGAGGATTTCATTTTTTAAAACAACTCAACATTATCAAACTGGTTGTATTTTTGTTAATCCTAAGAGTGTCTTTTTTTTCACTGATTAGTTTTAAATGTGGGCAAGACGCAAAGGATAGTATGATAAACAAAAGGCAATACTGCTTTCTTCTTAGTCGCTTAGATAAGTTTCCTGTTTTGACATATAGATCAAAGTGATGTGCTTGTTACGATCTGAAAAGTAGATTTATAATTACAAGGTTTTATGTGATCCACAGACAGAAGTGAAATGGCAAGCAAGTTTAACTGTTTTTTTTTACTGTGCTCTCCAGATTGATGAACAGCTGGTGCAGACCTCTGGCAAGTTTCAGATCCTGGACCGCCTCTTGCCAGCACTCAAAAAGAGGGGCCACAAGGTACACTACTATGAACTAGCTTTGGAGCGTTTGCGTGTTCAGATTTGTATTTATTATTTAACATTCTTGGAAACTTTGTCAAATGACTGTCACTCATGGTCCCTATGTCTTCCACCTAAAAAAACAAAAGAAAATCTGATTACTCACACCAGAAATAATATTATGATATTCAGGTTTTTGGTGTGTGACTGAAAGTGTATATCGCTTTCACCCTAATGCACAACTTAACCAAACTGTTCCAAATATTGTGTGTAGTTTGTTATACTGTTCCACAGTTGATAAATACAATAAAGTTCACTTATTACTACAGTTTCATGGAAGATAAAAATGAACATTTTATAATGCCTGTCTGAATATGTAATTACTGTGGACTGGTGCATGATGTGGAAAGAAAGGGAATTACAGGGTTTATTACATAAAGAAATTATTATTACATAAAGAATAATTACATTTTGGATTATTATTGAATAATACAGCAGACATGTTAATCAGTAGCACAGTTACAGTACTATATCAAATATATGAACTAACAGTTCGTGTGTGATGAGATGATGATAATTTATGGATCCCATCTTCATTCAGGTGTTGATCTTCAGTCAGATGACCTCCATCTTGGATCTGCTGATGGACTACTGCTACTTACGACATTTTGAGTATAGTCGCCTGGATGGGAGCATGCCCTATGCTGAACGAGAGGAGAATGTGAGACTTTAATGTAGTTCTGTCGTATTAATGCAAACATATTATAAAAGAATTGCTTGTAATGCTCCCTTGTACCTTATATGCAAAGCATTTGCATTGATTCATGCATGTTATTTTCAGATTACAAAGTTCTTTCAAGATCCAGAGGTGTTCCTTTTCCTGCTCAGCACAAGAGCTGGAGGTCTGGGTATCAACCTGACTGCAGCCGACACTGTCATCATCTTCGACAGTGACTGGGTGGGTTATCACCTTACGTCATCTCCCTGGTTACATTGTATGTAACCAGGAGGATATTTTGTGCTAATGGCATCTTTGTGTCTAGAATCCTCAGGCTGATCTCCAGGCTCAGGACCGCTGTCACCGCATCGGACAGACCAAGCCTGTGGTGGTCTACCGTTTTGTCACAGCCAACACCATCGACCAGAAGATTTTTGAAAGAGCCTCAGCTAAAAGGAAACTGGAGCAGATGGTCATCCACAAGAGTAAGGAGTGCTACATACACTTTATTTGGATCAAATTTAGCCACTTCCAGTTAAACTATATTCCTATGGTGAAAGTATGTTTCTTACTTCCATTTAATCTGTTTCTTCACTTAATTTAAACTCACTGAAATCAAATCTCTGTGAATAATCATTTTAATTATTGTGATTTAAATTATGTATATTTTTCCATCTAGCAGCCCTTTATCATAGCCTAACCCTAATATACTGCTGATCATAGATGGTTAGTTTGCTACTTACCAAAGTAGAGTCAATACAAAAACAAACTGCTGCTAGACCTGAATTCTGTTGTTTGCTGCAGATAAGTTTAAAGGGGCCCGGACAGAGCTCAGCCAGGGCAAGAGCTGCATTGACCTGGACGAACTGATGGACCTGCTAAAGGCTCGAGGCACTGAAAAGTGAGTCCCACTCCTGTTTCTGTAGTGATCCAAGTGAGAGCACGCACACTACCTTTAGACTGAATAACTGGCCTAGTCCATTTCAACCTGTAATTAGACTGGGACAAAAGTCATTGGATTTTAGGGCAAAGGCTATTTGAATTTAATTGCTTAGCACACTCCATTCTCCGTGCGTGTGAACGTAGTGAATGTGAGTGTATGTGTATCTGTGATGGCAAGAGAGTGGGAGAGAGCACACTAACTGTTGTGTGTCCACAGGCAGGTGAAGGCCTCAAGAGGTAAAGTGCTTAGTGACCAAGATCTGGAGGTGCTGCTGGACCGCTCTGACCTGCTGGGTATGGATATTCAACTATTTATTTTTGGGGGTTGATTACCCATAGTGTGATGATGTAGCAGTCAAATCCTAGCTAAGTCAGTTTGTGCCAAACACATGACTTGTATGCCACCTACAGCAATATTGGATCTAGTCTGCAATGTAAAAAATATAAACGCCATACAAAAGCATTTATACAACAACAAATTTCATCAATTAAAAGTATAGCTTTTTTTTGGCTTTTGTTGCAGCAAGTCATACATACAATTCTAGTCAGTGAAAAGCATTTGTCATTGACGCACAAGTCAGATCTTGTAACTTACCATGTGCATGGTTATAGCACTTAATATTTAGCTTTAGATGATTTTGACCTTTTCACTGCTTACATTGGTCCCTACATGTCATTTAAACACTTTGTAACTTGGGCCATAAGCCACACTTTTAGTGAGATTTATGAAGCAGTGATTAGAACCTAATGTTTGTGTTCCAGATAAGGACAGAGTTCGAGTGAAGCAGGAAAAGGTGGGTGTTTTCAGGCTAGTGGAGGACCGGCAATCTGACATCATCCTGTCCTGAAACTCTGTGCATTGTCTCTGGAGAGAAACTAAACTGCTGTTCCTTTAACCGGATGACTGCCTCGTGCTGCTGCTGCTGCTGCTGCTGCAACAGCAACAGCAATAAAGTTTTGGATTGTGTATGTTCAAACCACTAAAGGAGGTTGTGTATGACAGATATTACTTGGTTGACTTTTTCCCCCTAATATTTTGTTAGTTTTTTGCAGTTCTCATCACAAATGTGTGTAGTTTACATGCTAGCATAGGCTGGCTTTGACCTTAATCTACTGTGCGTTCATTGCTTTGACAAAAAACTGGCCCATTGAGTAGCTCAAGGTCTCAAAGTTGAGGAGGTTTGTCATATAGCCCTAATGTTTCTTGTCACGTTGGATGCGATTTGTTGAAATTGGCAAGCTGTAGTTCTGTGGGAAGAAAGTGATTTGTGCTAAATACATCTGAAAAGTATTTAGTACAATCTCATGTCATCTCATGCCAATTGAATTATAGTCACCGGCCTTGAATAGTGTTATGGTGAGAACAAGATTTGTCATTTTGAAACACGTTGACGGAGTTTGAACAGCCTATTTGAATGATCAGTGTTCCCTTTTAATGTATCAGCCACTTTAATTAAGATTCTCTATTAAAATAAAACTGACAATGGAAAGATAATTATTATTGATGTGATGTGTGGGACACGAGCAGTATCTGCAGCAGAACAGTGGAACTATCCATTACATTATTCAGTACTGTAACCCTTTACTGTATCATATCTGTGTTTGCTCAATCAGACACATGGCTGTTTCTGTGTCCAAGTGTTACCTTCTTTTCACCCTATAAAGTTCTGAGAAAACTTTGTCAGCCTTTTGCAGAGTCACTGTTGCACTGTCACATATCTGTATGTAACCAGAAATGCATTTTATGTCCAGCTCTGTTTAGTTTTTGAAAACGTTATCCTTTAGAACATATGTAGACTTGGGACCAAGTGAAATTGATTGTGTTTTATTGTGCCATTTTATAATAAATATCTCAATTAAACCACTGTCTCCACTCTGGTTATACCGTGTAAACAGGTAATCATAGCATTTACCATTATGGCATTTTTGTTGCCTGTTACAATGTCTCACCTTTCATTAGTGGCATGTGTGACTTAAAAAAAAAGGCAAATGTATATAATTATTATGTACATTTAATTTTTATGTTTACCAAGTGAAACATGATGTCGTAAATTGCTGATTCCAAGATGTTTATGAAAGCATAAATTAAACTGTATCATGTTGATAAGTTGTAGTGAAAAGAGTAAGTTGTTTTTCAAGTCTATTTAGGGGAAAGCACTGACTGCCTTTGGTGTGTTTTCAGCGCAGTCACTTTGTCTGCTTATATTTGCATGGCTTTCCCTCAGAATGGAAACACATGCACATGTTGTGATCAGACTTCAGGATGACAACAATATGCCCAGAGACTCTACAAAAGGCCTCAGTGTCCAATGACCGTGCTCTTGTCTGTTGAGATCGGTGTGCTGAGAAACAGTTTTAAGTACTACAACAGACTGGGTTGACTCGGTGTGTGTGTTAGAGAGAGACACACCTGAGTTGGTTGTGCATTTGTATGTGCAGGGTGTGGTTCTTCCGGGACCAGGAGTCACATCGCAGCTCTGTCTCTGTGATTTCACATCAACCTTCCATTATAACAAACTGACCTAAGGTAAGATACTCTATGTATTATGATTACATGATTTTCAGTAAAGTGTTTTAAATGCATTTTCTCTAATGACCAATAATACATGACTATTGTACTGAGTCAAGTTGTTAACAAGTTTCTTGATTCCAAGACATTTCTGAAAGAATACATTTGATTCTTTCTTTTTAGATTAAAAGGTCAATGTATCATTACCTATAAGCACACATTCATATTTAACATGTGTATTTGATGTGATGCACATTTTTGGCATAATCACTTAAAATTACTTTCTAAATAATATTTTTCTTCCTCATTCAACTCAACTGTGCACAAAGATGTATATAAAGTAATAATAAAGTACATACTTTATTATTATATTATCATTATTAAATGCATATATACATAAGTTAGTCTTGTAATATTTGCTACAAAATTCATCCTTCTGAAGCATCTGAAAGCCCTGCCTTAAATGGAAGTAAATTGCACTTTTTACTGCTGAGATTAATGATGACTAGTGGACCTCAAGCTACCCAGGAGGAGCACAGTGATGCTCTGTTTTAGACTTGGGAGGAACTATCTCATTGGGAACATACCTCAACTTTATATGCATATAAGCATGTGATAAACAAGCCATGCCTTATTCAGTTGCAGGGATGAAATGTCATATAAATAGATCATATTAACCCAGTGCTATAAGGGCATATTGCTTTTTCACTTACTTGAGCTGAATGTTTGCATACAACTTAATAATAGGCACAAATTCACTAGGCTCCATCAGGCACTTAACATTAAAACATTAAAGACTCATCTTTGTTGGATGCATTCAAGTAAAACACAATATCTTTGATTTAAATAATACTTCTATTTCAGATTTTTCCCCTTGAAACCTATAAATCTGTATCTGCTCTGTTTATTGTCTCTCCTGGTTGTCTAACAGCAGTGGAGCTGAGGGCAGTGTCCCACCTAAACATGAAACGTTTTAGTCTTTTAAATACTGCCTTTTGTTGTGGCTAGTGCTGCTAACCAAAGACCACAAAAGCAGTTGAATGCCTGGACTAAGTCTGCTGAGATGTAAAAACAGCAAATCAGCAGCAGTACATAGTGTACCAAACCAAATTATGTATTTTAGCTAAAGCTAATCTTTATTGTCAGATAATACAATACAGTTCAGTCTGCCCAAAATGATGTCTTCTCATGTCCTGACCAGTAGCCCAGACTTATCACAGTGTGTTAATTTTATTTATAGCATGGAAATATCACCTTCATGAAACTTTTATTTGTTTGTTTGTTTGTTTTATTGACTTGATAGATTGATATAAAAGATCACATTTTAACAATTCAGCATTACTCTGATAGAAAAAAGCTCTCTGTTGTCCTTTTGCCTATATGTTCTAGCAGCTGCAGGTTCATTAAAACGTGGACAGTTTTTGGTCAATGAGCAACTCACTGGTTTGTCTATTAAAGTGTGAACATAAGTGTCCACAGATATATTTTAAAGCTATTGTATGCTCCTTTTTAGTAACTTACTGTGACTTGGAGTAAGGAGGGATTGTTTGTTTGGGCAGAAAACACATCTGTGATAGATGTGTGGAGAATGTCCATTTGAAAGTTTTAATTTTTTTTTAACATGCCACCTCCAGAATGTTACATACTGTACCTTTAAATTGCTTCTTTATTTACATTAGCCTATGTTTTCCCATAATATCCTGATTGTTTAATTATAGTCCGCGCGATAAAGGTTTCTGTATTTATGCCTCCTCAGCCAACTGACTGTTCCTGATGGAGCGTCTGAAGTTGGTGCTGCAGTACTTCCAATCAAACTCGGAGTCCATCTCAAATGGAATCTGCATTATCTTGGCTTTGGTCAGTGTCAGGCTCTATACCAGCTTTGATTTCAACTGCCCCTGTCTGCCGCAGTACAACAGGCTCTACTCTCTGGGCGTCATGGTGGTGCCCCCCATCATCCTCTTCTTTTTGGGGTTGTTAGTGAACCGCCACACCGGGGTCATGATGGACGAGTGGCTGAGGCCTGAAGGAAACCGATCCAAGAACCCTGCAGTCGTCAAGTGAGTCGAAGTGTCTAGATGCAGTAAAGCCAGAAACTAAATATTTGCATATTAAAGTGTAAACTGTAGTGAATATAGACTTATCTGTCACTGTCACAACCTGTAAACATTGTCCCTGTTCAAATAAAATAATAGTGACATAGTAATGAGTAACCTTTGTACAGGTTCCTGTTCTCATCCATGCTGCAGAGGGCGCTGTTGGCTCCAATGGTTTGGATCTTGGTCTCTCTTCTGGACGGAAAGATCTTGATCTGTGCGTTCAGCGTCAATGTGGACCCGGGCCTCTTCTCTGGTGCACTCACAGTTTTCTGGTCCTCTTATCTTTGATCTATCAGGACATATCACAAATCCTTTATTCTCTAAAGAACATTATAAATATAAATGCAAAGGCTATTCTGATCTAGCAGTTTGTCCCAAATGCTTTAAACGTGACACATATGCGTCACTTAAAAGTAACTCATAGATTGAGTTAGATTTAAGTGAGTCAATCTGTTATGTGTGTACAGTGTCAACAAGCATGTTTGTGTGTTGCAATAGGGGGTAAATAAATGTTTGAAAGTTTTGTAGAAGTTTGAAAATCACTGCTCTATGGGACGTCAAATTCAGGAGCAGACTTTGTTAGTTAAATAAGTCCACATATGAATGGTTAACCTTGTTCAGTTACTAAAAAATAATCATTTTATAGTTGTCCTGGAATATTCTGCCTGAAATGGGTTGGGTTTACCAACCTGGAGCTTTTATTTTGCTAACTGCACTGTGTTCCAGGTTTTCCAAACAACACTGGGATGGACACCATCAAAATCATGGCAAAGGTTCCATGTAAAGAGGAGACCATCTTTGCAAACAGCTCCTTCAAGAAGGCTGTGACCAGATATGTGCGCTGCTATTCTCAGGTCAGTCTCCTTGTTCTCACAGCAGTACTGTTTCAGTACCAAATCAATAGAAAAAAAAATATTTTTTTTTATTTATATGTTTTTTTTTCACAAAGCACTGAGAGATATGTCAATCTTACAAGTGCCAATCAACTGACATGGATTTGACATTACCTGACATAAAAATGGGTTTGCATGGATATTAAAAAAATAATAGCATGTGTGTTCTTTTGTGGTCAAGATTAGTTCATTTACTTTTTAAGCATTACCTGAATCTTAGGCACTACATTTAAAGGCACATTTGAGCATACTTTGTAAAGATGACCTAATATTGGGATTATCTGATATCAGAATTTATGGCCATAACACCTTATACCCATTCTCATCTGATCTCTAAATGGGGTCTGGTTAGTATATGGATGGGAGCTCACTGGTGTCCTAAGGCAAGACACTTTACCTATTTAATGAAGTTTTTGCAAGTGTAAACCTGCAGTGTATTTTAGACACGTTTGTTTCTTTTGACCGTGTTTCCAGGCAGTGGGCTGGTCCATCCTCCTCTTCCTCATTGTACTTGGATCTCTAGCTCGTTTTATCAAACCATTTTTTGACAACCACGCCATGTTCCTTCAAACGCGGTACTGGAGCAACTACCTGGACGTGGAACAGAAGATGTTTGATGAGACCTGTGTGCTACATGCACGGGACTTTGCCCGGAAGTGTGTGGTGCAGTTTTTTGAGGAAATGAGAGAGGATTCAGTCCCAGAACTGAACAGGCCCTACTTCACTGTCAGCACACAGGATGACTGGGAGAATGAGGACGAAGACCGGCTTCACGGTATCATGAGGCAGGAGCAAATGAACCAACTGTTGGACAAGTGGTACTATAGCAAACCACAGCTGGACGTGAGGCGCATTGCATACCGGCCAAAACTCTGCCCTGAATGCAGCAAAAAAAGCCTCAGTTCAGATGTATAGACTTGGACTATAACTTTACCAGACCTATGAACTCTGACCCAGCCCAGTTTCCTCTCAGGAACTAGTGTGGTATGGTTCACACAGAACTCTTTCAGTTTGGTTGTACTGCACTCCTTCGTCTGATTAAAGATCACTGACCACTGCTTCTGATATTGTTATTAATACTGTTATAAAGTCAGTAATGTCAGAAACATTTTTGCAAAAAAAAAAGTAAAATTTTTAGGTCTCTCTGGAAATGGCAGACAGTAATTTGGCTCAGGTTGGTGCCTTTGATCTGCAGTACGACATTTTCCTCATTTACAGCTGAAACTACAGTGGAACAGAATCAAAACAACACACAGCAGGCCCACACAGACACTGGTCAGAGCACGTTCATCTCCTTGTCCATTTCCTCTGCACTGTAGGTGACCCACTTGTGGATGCGACTGTAGAGTGGCAGTCCATTCTTCTCGCGATACAAGCATACCCCCGTGACCCTGTTCCAGTCTGTGCTGCAGACAGGACGGCCGTTTGGCTGCTCCCCTAACAACTCCTTCTGTTGAGGCTCCAGGGACACAAACCCAAAGAAGTTCTTGACATTCTGCATGGCAACCAACTGGGCATGGGCTGCTGCTGTATTCTGGAAGAGAGTTTGCTCAGCGGCACGGTACTGTGACCAATACTCCTCCTGCTGGTGGCCTAGGGGCGAGCAGCATCGCCTCATACACTGCAGCAGGAAGACGGTCACTGACATCAGAGCAACCAGTAACCAGCCAATCAGCTGAAAGAAACAAAAGAACCCAACCAGGTAACATGAATGTATCACAGTATAATACATGTGTATCGCATTTGATTCAATTCAATATTATGTCATTTTTCAGATATGGCCAGCAGATTTTGGAAATAATTACGTAATTTAACCATGCATATGTCCCCCGACATTACTGGGCCCTGGCGGTGTACACATGTTAAATGCTATACCTGAGACTGGTACTTGAGGTGACGCTGGATGTCCCTCCAGAAAGGCTTTAGCTCTGCAGAAACACTGTCCTCACAGGGTAACTGAGCCAGCACCTGAGGGTCCTTCCCCGATGGGAACCCTGGCACAAAGCTGGGGTCCACAAACTCACTGAGGGCACAGGTATAGGCCTGTCCCTGCAGCAGAGACAACACAGCCCAGGTGAGTGGGGCCACCACAGCTCTGCCCAGCACACTGGCGAGCACCGTGAATCCTGCTGTTGCCGACAGCTTCCTGCATCGTCTGAGCTGGCACTCCGCTAAGAGATCCCATGTGTTCCTGTTCAACATGATGCCCACCAAGAACAGCACCAGAGCAGGCACACCAATGGCGGCCAGCCCATAGTAGTAGTTCCTCTGTGAAGAGCAGGGGCAGTCAAAGGCAAACACAGTGTACGCTGTCTGACCTGCCACAGTGCCTAGAGCTACCAGACCATTGAAAATCATTACATCTTTACTTTTAAAAAACAGAGACACAAATTTAAAGTTCTCTGTGACCAGTGCAGCTGCTGCCATTATGCTAAACTCTCACAGGTCAGTATATCAGGGGTAAAAATAGGATTGCCCTTTGTAACAAAACTCTTTTAACAATATAATACAAAAAAGCATCAAACGTCACCCTGCAGATGTTTCTCCTGAAGTTGTGAGTAGCTGCTATAGTCCATTAAGGCGTTCATGACGCAAACTATACAGCGCTCTGTCTTGAATGTTCTTTGAAATTGTGGAGCTTGAAAGGAACTTTATGTGTACTGTGTTGGGCACGCCGTGACTCAGCCTGGGACTGCCCCTCTGTTTCCTTTCCTGGCTGTGGAAAAACAGATCTGTAACTGAAAACATATGGTAGTCACACTCCTTCACAGCAGAAGCGGAGGAGCTTCTGCATTAACCATGCGTCTGTATTCTGAGGTTTACATGAACACATTAAAGCTCTATTACAAAATCTCAAAGTCACAAAATCACTGAAGAGGCTATGCTTATAGCTTATGTTATAACTTTTACTGCTTCCATATAAAGTACAGTTATTTGAGCTCTTGTGAGGGAAATATATTCTCAGCATTTGACCCATCCTTCAACCAGTGGGGAAACTGGCTGGCGCTCCTAGTTCGGTGGGTTCTCCTGTATAGGTGTAGTTGTGTGGGCTTAGAGTAGGGTAGATAGTAGATATGGAAAAATTCACAAATATTTAGGGCTAGGCTGCTCCAGTCTGTGTGTGTGTGTGTTTCATGTCATAGCAAAAGCAGCAAATGGAAATTGAATTAAAGCCGCAAGCGGCGTCGAACGGCCCTTGCCCACCGCGCCCGTGAATGCCGCGTCCGCGAACGCCGTGCCCGCGAACCAAATCCGATAATGTTGATGTTTCATGTCTTTGGTAGGGGGCGCTATAGTGTTCATGTTTCATATGTTTTATAGTGTATTATATTCAGGCTGAGATCATGCATTAGTTATTCAAATTTCAGCACGATCGGACTAAACATGTGCGTGTAATACTATTTTCAATATTTTTGGGTGGAGTCTTTGCAACCCTGCTGGTCAACCGTGAAAAATTCACCATGTCCATAATATACTTTTTTACTCGTAATCATGCATAGAATTTAATTCCAAAATTTGGTGCAGATCCGTTAATGTTGACGTTTCATGTCTTTGGTAGGGGGCGCTATAGTGTTCACTTTTCATATGTTTTATAGTGTATTATATTCAGACTGGGATCACACATCAGTGATTCAAATTTCAGCACGATCGGACTAAGTCTGTGCGTGTAATACTATTTTCAAGATTTTTAGGGGGAGTCCTTGCACCCCTGCTGGCCAACAATGAAAAATTCCCCATGACTGTAATATTTTTTTTTTTTTTGCTCGTAATCATACATAGAATGTAATTCCCAAATTTGGTGCAGATCTGACAATGCTGACGTTTCATGTCTATGGTAGGGGGCGCTATAGTGTTTTTTCATATGTTTTATAGTGTATTATATTCAGACTGAGATCACACATTAGTGATTCAAATTTCAGCACGATCGGACTAAGTCTGTGCGAACAGGAGCAACCTTGTAATTCGCCAAAACTTTGACCAAATTTTGCAGCTTTGCCGCACGTAAACCGTGACAGTTATCAAAAAAAATCAGCTAACTTTAGATGTTCCACTTCTGTAGATGATGTACGGTGATTTTCAGCCCTGTGGGTGAAGCGCCTTCAGAGGAGTTCGTTCAAACACAACGTCAACGAAAATGCGGACTCAAATTTCAATCCAATATGTCCGCCTTCTGGTTTGTCGCTGGGCGTGGCCATAATAACATTTTTTGTTTGTCTTGACATGACGAATGTGTGTACCGAATTTCATGGCTCTACGACAAAGTTGACGTCGGGACGTCTCCCATAGGCGCAATGTATTTTGACTTTTCGAGGTGGCGCTGTGTCGCCATTTTTTTATGCCCGTGCACGAAACCTATATTTTATCGAATTTTTCGCCACTTCTGAATTTTGGGCAAAGTTTGGTGAGTTTTTGAACGTGTTTAGGGGGTCAAATTAGAGTTCAAAGAGCATAATAATAATAATAAAAATAATAATTCGAGCAAAAACAATATATCCGAAAACTTTAGAACAACATATTATACGTTTTTTGAAAGCTCTCGACCATTGGTCATTGGTGAGTGACGGGCACTGACGCGCTCCGTCATTCGCCATCTCGTCGAGGTCACCCATCGCCTTCCATTGACTTCCATTCATTTTAGCAGTAGTAAATATGGCTCAGGCCTTGGGCGTGGGTTACTGGGATACTGCTGTTCGTGCCGGGGGCGACCGTGGACATAGTTGCATGTCGTCTTGTCGCATTTGGACATGCGCACGTCGCTCCCCATTCGCTCCGCTTAGCGGAAGCAATAGGCCCTACGCCCTGTCGGGGCTCGGGCCTAACTAAACTGACTGGACAAAGGTTTTTGCCACTCCCCGCAGTAGGCTACAGTCCAGTTGGACCAGAACCTCTCCAAAAGAAGTTTCCTCACCTCTGCCCATGAGCACCTGTCACTTTAAACAACTTCACTGAACTATAATTAATCTACTTGATCGTTTTACACTGTTGTTCTGCCCGTGTTGTATATTATATATAATATTTCGACAAAGTATATTATTATTCATTGTTCTGTGTTGCACCATACCGCTGAAGCAAGTTCCTAGTTTATGAATTTTGTTGGCAATAAAACTTATTCTTGTTGCAGACATGTTTTTATTCTAAACTGAGGTTGATATACATTTGTCCGATTCATATTGCATCGTGCCATTTTACATGCCATTTTTGAAATGGTCAATCACCTTGGCTAATCCAAGATCACTTGGATCATTTACTCAAATGACTGGGTCGTGTTTGAGCTCTGTTTTTATTATAGATCCATGTCTGTGGAAAGAATCGATCACGTGGACAAAGCAGTCACGTGGGCGCTGTGCCACGTCTCACTAGATGACGTCACCTCTCAGTGACAGTGGGTGCTGCGGTATCTGCGCTTCCTCTAATCTCTCCTTATTGAAACATATTTGACTGAAAAAGCTTCATGAGCTGTTAGCGTGACTTTTAAGGACTGCCTTCTGAAAGAACACAGACACATTTCTCCGTTTCGAAAATCGGCTGGCTAATGTTAGCCGTTTCCTGGTTAGAGTTGCAGCCATTTTGGATTTGTACAAAGAAAACAGGCAGCTGGTTGTGGTAGCTGTGAGTTAATTCCTTTGTTCTTTTAAGAAGAAAACTGTGGGATAAAAACATTATACAAGAGGAAGCAGTAAAAACGACCTATCAACCATGAATCCAGAATAGTAAGTATTGTACCAGAAATGTCAGTAAGCTTGGCCCCCTAGCTGGCATGTAGACTTAGCATTGTGGGCTAACGTGTGTGAAAGATCACATTATAGTTTTAGTTCTGCATGATCAGCCAATTCATAATTCGTTGGACAGGTGGATAGCAGAGCTCTATTGTGGATTGTCTGTGGACTGTAAATTCTATTTTAGTCTTTAACACTCCCAACTGTCCCCCATTCACTTGTTACTCACTTGCTTTGGTCCATGTCTATTTTGCCTCGGATTTTTCATTACGCTACCTTTTCTCGTGTAAAAGCCAAAGAAAAAATCTTTTCTGTTATGTTTTTCTCCTAATATTCTAATAATATGGCTGTCATTATTAAATAATTCTACTGTACTAATAAACGAAATATAAAAGAGATATCAACAAGTCATCATTATTATTACAGTGTTCTTCATTCCCTTCCAAAAGCATTATCTAGATATGTATTGTTTTAGACTGAGAATAAAGCCTTCCCTGTGCTCAGTGTCTCTTGAGTTGAGTCATATGTTGCTTAAGTCATGTGTAGGTCACATGCCCATGGCCCATAATGCAGACTGGTGATTTTCACCATCTTTCTACTTGGCACACAACTTTTACTGTCCTATCTTTAGATTTATGGTGTGTTTATTTTGCTGTGGCCTGCTAAAATATCATAATTTTACATTCTTAAAATTAACTATCTCCAGCGGACAGAACCTTCAGAACGAGGGTAATGTGTGACAGATGCCGTGGGTTTGACTTGGCTTTTATGTCATTTTATGTTAGACTGTAAAGAGCTTGACCTTTGTGGGGAAGAACAATGTTTGAATTTTAAAGTCACATTCAAAGGTCCACATGTGCAGCATCTGCACAGGTTGCCTCTTCGTTCCCAGCCTTGGACTAACCAGCAGTGCATGATTGGAATTTGACCCAGAAAGGAGTGCTGTGGAGCTTTAATGTCCATGTTGACATGAAGCATAGCCATCATCTAGATCTTGGAGGATTGGTGCATTGTGGAAGTTTGATCCTATGCATACGAATAACCCAGAACCGAAAAGTGAACCTGCAGTTCCCATGATCACTCATGGGATTAGTTTGTTCTTAATGTTAAGATGAGCTTTAAAAACTGAGATCAATGTGTGAAATGGGAGTTTTTTGTCTGTGCATCATCCAGAGTTTTGCACCAAACTACAATGAAAACCTGGGGTGTTGCACTTTTCTGAGGAATGGTAGATAAATTTGTAAATGAATGATACAAAATTGACCTAACTTTTGATTCACAGTAAACATGTATAATATGTTTAGTCACTAAAAAAATATCTTATTCTACAGTACATTCTGATTATAAATAGACTTTTGTTTTCTTTTGCAGTGATTATTTATTCAAGCTACTTCTGATTGGTGACTCAGGTGTAGGAAAGTCTTGTCTTCTTCTGAGATTTGCGGTAAGTTTAATGTGCAACATGGTGTTTTAGATTTTTATTGTTGCTTGTTACATCTCTGTTGACTCTTTAGTGTCTCTTAAACTGCAATCTGTGGAATGTTTGTTCAATCAAAAGGGGAATTTAGAACAAGAAAGGCAAAAGTGAAACTTTCTTTACTGACCCTAAATGAAACTAGTGCTTTTAAAAAATATTTGTAAGAAATGCAATAAGTAATATAGTTTACCATTACCTTGCAGATATCAGTGCATTACTGAAGCCACAGTACATAACTTTTTAGCCATGGATTTAAGTTTCTATTTCCATGGAATCAAGTGACGTGCCTCCTACAGAGAGTTCCCTACTGTACCGTTGAATAAATGAGGAAAACAGTTTTAGTATTCTAGGCAGAACATACAGTGATGTACAGACAGTGAGAATAGTTCAGATAATGCAGCTTTACCATATGTGTGTTTTTGTCTCTTGTTTGACAGGATGACACATACACAGAAAGTTACATTAGTACAATTGGTGTGGACTTCAAAATCCGAACCATAGAACTGGACGGAAAGACGATTAAGCTTCAGATTGTGAGTACCACTCATTGGGTTTTACTTTGGGTTTACTTTTGGGTTTATGACACATCATCTCTGATAGTGTATTGTTATTTATGAGAATGTGAGAGAGATGTGTCCTCTGGTCCACAGTGGGACACTGCAGGGCAGGAAAGGTTTCGGACTATTACTTCCAGCTACTATAGAGGAGCTCATGGAATCATAGTAGTGTACGACGTCACAGACCAGGTACCAGCTCACAACTCAAACACTTTTGTTACTCTACCATCAAGCTGTGTTACACATACAAACATGTTGACATGGGTAATATTATGGAAAGGAGAAGTAATTGCTTCTCCATACATTTTTACATCTATTGATAAAATGATAATTTCGTTGTTTAGAATATTGAATTAATTTTAAAATAAAACGAGTTGGGGTCAGCCTTTACATTTGCGCTTGTTCTTTTGCGTTGTAATGCAGATGGATACTTATATACTAAATTGCTGAAAAATTGTGGTTCCTACATTTAGAAACTTCTCACTTGTGTCATTTCTGTTACTTGCAGGAATCTTTTAATAACGTTAAACAGTGGCTACAGGAGATTGACCGCTATGCCAGTGAAAATGTCAACAAACTACTGGTGGGAAATAAGTGTGACTTAACGACAAAGAAAGTTGTGGACTACACAACAGCCAAGGTATTCTGTCTCAAAGCTTTTTGACTTCCTAATCGACAGTTAACTCCTCTTAACTCAAGAAAGTGTTTTATTCAGTTTTGTGTGATAAAACTATTCTCTCCTTTTCTGAAATGTGCAGGAGTTTGCAGACTCTCTGGGCATCCCCTTTTTGGAAACCAGTGCTAAAAATGCAACCAACGTGGAGCAGGCTTTCATGACCATGGCAGCTGAGATTAAAAAGAGAATGGGCCCCGGGGCCACAGCCGGAGGTGGAGACAAACCCAACGTGAAGCTGACGCCAGGGACCACTGTCAAGTCATCATCAGGGGGCTGCTGTTGAGAGCACTGTGTTCTGTAGCCCACAGGACAGAGGGCAGAACTTTACACGTGTAATGGCACTACCAAATCAGACCCACATCATTCTGTCTTGGCCCGGACCACACCCCTGTCATCTCAGACTCACTGTTAGGCCCAGTGAATTTCTGAGCTCAAGAACCAGTGTCTGTTTCTTCATTCCTCCACCAGGGGTCACTACTAAATCACTTTAATTAGGATTTGTTTGTCCATTTTGTTTTTTTGTTTTTTTTGTTTTTGGACTGTTTGTCAGGCATGGTTGATCTGTCCCCTGTACTATTGGCAGTGTCTGTACTGTCCAGCATTACACATGTAGTGATACAGTATATGTACATAAAAACATTATGTATATATATAAATATATATTATTGTATGTAAATTGGATTTGACAGCTGGTGTTCAATATGCTATTGGGAAAGTCTTGACAATTAATCCCTGCATTCAAGATATGGCTAAGTGTATGTCTGTTGCTAAACATTTAAAATGAAAATAAATCTTGTAACACCCAACTGTACTTAATGTGAATAGGCTGTTCTTCTGTCTCCACAGGATTACACTGATTAATATGAAAATGCCTTATAAATCTACTGGCTTAGAATATCACAGATACAATACAAACACGGAGCACAAGAGTTTTTCAGTGTTGCTCACATGAGCAAATGCTTCTGACACTTGACACACAGTTCATTAACCAATAGGCAATTGCACTTGCTCTGTATGCCTTTTATATTCCCCCCCCACCTAAGCTGCACTGTGACACATGCACAGGGGAGAATGATGCTGTGCTCCTCTTGTCTTGTGTCAGTGGCTGTCATGTTCATTATACTCTGCAATTATCTTCAATGTGAGGCCATGACGGGCATAAAATGAAGGTTCTCAAAACTTGTGTGGAATTTCAACTGTCAATCATTGTTTCTGGAGGGAAACATGGCCTTCGGTATCTTCATTCAAATAAACAATATGTATAAAAAATATTGCAATTGTCCCTTTCCACTTACGAACAAATACTTTTTCATTGGTTTCATTAGACAGTTCACAGGTGCGAAATTTGTTTTGAATTGCTCATTGCTATGACGGTGTTCGTTTCATTACTCAAACCTATGGACAGAAATCCATTTTTATGAGCATGAGTGTGACTGTGACTGTGTAAGGCCATAAAAATAACCAAAAGTGCACCTAGGTTGGCTTTCTTCAATATTTATATGAGACACAACAAAAAATAAAATGTTAAATAAAAAAATTCAGACATCTATGAGTTTAAGTAAGACTCAGGTGCTCAGAACAGAGGTGATTTGGCAAAGTGTTTATTTTTTTGTGAAAGGCACTTTCAAAATAAATAATGTTCACATTTTTTTGTTTTTTTGCGTGCTGGTCTACAGTGACTGAATTCCATAAAAGCTCGTCTGTGAAACCGGTTTCACTCAGTCAATGTGAAAATATCACTCCTGTGTGTCTCACTCGGTTCAACATTCAGCAAAAGAGCTTCTTAATGCTCGCCCACAGGGCTCAGTTCTTTGGGCTCTTCTCCTTTCTCTGATCCTGTCTGTGCCTCGTCTGTGTGTGGCTGGGTCAGGCTGTCCATGGCAGAGAGGATGGAAGAGAAGAAGTTTTCTGTATGTCTCTCCAGAAGTCTGGACTGGCTCTCAATCAGGAGCAGAGTTTCTCTGAGCACTGTGGAGCGGACACACAATGTAACTCACCAATACATAACTTCTTGAACTCCTTAAATACATCATATAGCCTGATGAGCAGCAGGAATACTAATGTGAAAGTGTCAACTCAAACAGATGACGAGGCTGACCTGGAGAGGTGCTGTGGATGCAACTGAGCAGGAGGCGACCTGTTTGTAGAACACTGGAGGTCAAGGGCATGTGGCTGTTCACATCTTGCTGAAAATTCTACAAACACACATCAAAGTCCTCAAACTGATACAAATACAGTGTTTCAATCATCACAATAACAGTGAAACTTGAAACAGCATCAAATGAAGGAAAGGTTGGCACATTTTGTAAACTGTCATTTCCAAACATTTGACATGGCACCTGGAGAGACAGACAATGATTTACAAACCTTGTACTGAGCCAGGGAGGACTTGACACTGTGGATGTCCACTGTGGGCGGGGCCAGCCGCTCTATTTTCTGTGAGGCAGTGTAGAGCCAGCGGACAAGCTGCTCCAGGTGTCTGCAAAACACCTACAGCACAGAGCTCATGGTTTACCACAGACACTACAGGGCGCAGCCCTGACTACTTTATTATAAACAATAATAATTTCACTTATAGCTTACACTGATGTGCTCCATGAGAGAGCTGTGTTGCTCTGGTCCTCTCAGGGAGTCCACCAAGTCTAAACAAGCAAACAGACTTTATCCTTCAGAAAACCTCATATGAATTTATGCAAACTGACCCGGGCAATGCAAAATGAAAAAACAAACAAACTTTGCATTGGAAAACTTATTATGAGGCGTTTATTGTCTTATACAAAATTAGATTAAATATGCTCCTTTCAATTAAAATAGAATAAATACGGCATCATAACCACTATTAAAATTGCATCTTCCAAGTCATCTCGCGACCCCCAGCTCCAAGCCCCCACTTTGGTTATAATCTACTGTATATGGAGGAATGAACCTTCAGTCCAGAGATGATGTAAGTCTTCTGTTCTAAGATGTGCTTGTGCGGTGTCCCGAGAATCCTGAGCTATAGGGGGACAGTGGGTCTGGGCAGAGTCCCAGTGCGCAGGGTGTAGAATGGCTGCTGCCTCAATCACCTTTACACACAGACACACACACATACATGCAGAGCTTTTCATGTAATCATTGATTTAAATTCCTTGCTTTAAAAAAGATTATCACCTGCCGTGACAGCTGCTGGAGCAGTTCTATCTTCTCTGGGAGGGGTCTGAACTCCTCCTCCTCCTGAAGGCCTTTTTCCCAGGGCAGAGTTATGAGTGCAGAGGAGATGGAGGACACCATTGTGTTTTTCTGCTTACTCCACTCCGGCCGATCTGCTGGGGAGGAAGGTGTTGCCGGAAACAGGCTGCCTAACAAGTCTGGTGAGCTTGGACCTATAGAGACGGGGTCTTTTGACTCCATGCCACCAAAGGACAGGTTGAGCTCAGATAGGCTAGTGGAGAGGTGGTCCACTTCAATCCCTGAGTCCTGGAGGGTCCAGTCTCCCACCTGAGCAGACCTTAGTGGGTAGGTGTAGTCCAGCAGACCCTCATAATCCTGGTGGGGATCTCTACCTAACGGTGTAGGCGGGGGGTCTTTGGGAATGGCACAGGCCCAGTATTCAGCCTGATATGGGGTGCTAGTCGTCTGTTCTGTTTGTGCCCTCCTGTGACTTGAGAGGGGGGTGTACCTGGGGTGCAGCACTGGGGAGCTAAGTGGTGGCCTAACAGGGGTGCTCATTCTGTGGACCTGAAGGACAGAGTTATGGGGTCTGAGATGTGAAGGTCTGTTACTGGTCAGAGGAGACATCCTGCTTCTACTGCCTGATGGAAAAAGCTCCTTGTGGAGAAGAGGCTGGTCCTCTCTGCGCCTGGTCTGGGGGCTGTGGAGGGGCCTCATCCCAGCTGGGCTGGGGTCTGTATTACTCTGTGGAATGGAGATTAACAGGCTACTATGGCAAAATAACACTATAGTACTGTATGTTTTATGTTTTACCTGCTCTTTGCTGTCTGCTCCAGTTGTTGTCTTCAAAATGGATATGTGTTGTTGAGTAGTGAACAAAGGCCGTCTCACTTTGTAGTGACACTCTGCAAGAAGCCTGGAGGGGGGGGCTATGCTCACATTTTTCTGTAGTACCTGGGCCCCTAAAGTGTGTCCACAGCTTGTACTGGACTGTGGATTGTATTCCCTGGCTTCCATCTGACAGCCCTGAGAAACAGAAGAAAATTCTGTTACAATAATATAGCCTAAGAATTTAAATTGAAACTTATGTTGTTGCATTGATTTCAGTTGACAGAAAAACAGGAGAGATGTAGTAGCTCATAATCATGCCTTTCCCTGTTCCTTTTACAAAAGCTCTGCATCGTCATACTTCTATGGTTCCAGTTTCTCTCACCCTGGCAGTGAAAACATTTATTAATATAAATAAAATGTGTGTAGGCAAGGTCTGTCAAAGCTTCTATTTCTTAATTTGCTTTGTTGCTCATTTGTCTTTAAAATTATTTAGGCCAATATTTACTTAAAAGTCCAGACTTAGTTTCTTAGCATTTCCACGTGTTTATCCTGTATTTACAGACTAGGCCAGGGAGTACGTAACTATGGCAACAGCTGGTACACAGCCGCCATTGTGGCTCAGCTTCATTGAACGGGATCAAGTGGGCGCTGTTTTCACACAATAACGAAAACTACTCCCATGTTATAGGCTAATCTATGAGCAATTTTGCGCAAAGCCATTAGCTGCTCCATGGTGGACCCCCTTAAAATGTCACCTTTATTCTGAGTATGACATAATGCTGGCAGCGGAGAGCGCTTTCTCTCTTTTGAGTTGGTCTGCACTGATCGGCTGCGAAAAACAATGTAGCAATAATAAGGAAGTGCATATTTGTTGCTATCCATTTCCTTTAAGAAAAAACACATTAAATCCAGAATAGAACACCAAGATAGGCTACCTTTATCAGCAGAACATCGGAAAAGCCGTGGGCCTTGGACACAGTCACCAGCCACAGTTCAGGCCCATTAGTTCGGTCGGAGTTCGGTCCTCACCGCAGTGTAGACTGTAGCTGCAGCTTGGTCGAAACTCACACAGAAGCTGCAAGGCGGTCGTAAGAATGGCTCCTCTCGTATCAGACACTGTAGGCTACATATCAGACTCTTTCTTAAAGATTCAGACTATGTAATCGCTGTACTTTCTAGGCCTGCTGATAACCAGGAGAGAGCATTCAGTTTCTCTATCACGCCCGCCTAGGAGGGCTATGGGTTAACTCCCTCTAGCGGCCGTCCATAAAGGCCTCACGTTGCAGCTGCATAATACATTGCGTCACATCACATCACATGCATAGTAACGACCATACATATACATATGTACAACATACACACTGTACTGCGCCTAGTCCACAACAATCCAACACAATTGAATAGCTCATATATAAAAACTGCAATTAATAGGCTGTAAGCTAGTTTTCAAGGCTAGAATTGTGAGGGGTGACCGCTGCCATTTCACACGTGACACTAATTCTCTTCAGAGCCTATACATTATTATATTATTAGATAATGAAGATTTAGGTAGGTATCAAGTTTAAGATGTAGCCTAAATGTTGAATGTCAAATTCAAGCCTTTCTGTACAAGGTTTATTTTTACTCACATTTTATTATTTCTTTGTCTTTGGCAGTGCCATGAACGCAGGACATATTCATGAATAGGAACAAATTTATATACATATCATTACATACATACATGCCATTACACAAGGCTGGCTACTTAAAAGTCCACACAGCGGCCTTTCCGCTCCCAGTCCCCGTAGCGGGTGGGCTCTGGGCCACGGGGGCCTCCCTTCTCCTTGGTGATGGGGTTTACATCCTCAGGAAACTCTGCAACAGAAACAGTTTGGCATGATTTTTTATTTTATTTTTTTCATAGATTGATTTATTATTATGTTACGTACTGATCTGATAAATTGATAAATAATGAGTGGATGTGTCAGTGTGGTTTACACCTTTGACTGAGTAACTGTGTATTACTATTAAACTTACATCAGTAATGTAATATGCAGGTACATCGAATATGATAGAATACAATATTGTCAGAGTCAAGGCCAGAACTGTACTCACAAAGATAATGCTAAAGTGAAGCTGAAGATCCTCCGTCATAGACATATTGATAAACTGTAAACATGCAGCCTCAGGACTCTCATCCTAACTTTACAATCTCAGATTTCTTACAGCCCTATCTTCAGTAGACCACTATTCTTATTAAACCAAATAGGTTCTCACTTTGTAACACATCGTCCACTTTCTCAGATTGGTCAAAGCGGCCTTGAGGGGTGTTTGGTTTCTTCAGAGGCTCTCGGTCCTTGGCAGCTCCACTTGATGCTCTCCAGCCTGCTGACCCCCCCAAACAGAGAAAGAACTTAACATCAATGTATGTAGATGTTCAACCATGAACAGTAGACTATAAGTGTTGTGACAGCAGAGAGAGAGAGAGCCCATTGGCACTCAGTAGGGTCTGGTGGTTGAATGTTTGTGCATATTCAAGAAACTGAATTCTGCTATGTAGTACTTTACCAACTCTAAAAAAAAATTGTCTTCCTAAACTCAGTTACGATGTCCATATTTTCAGGTTAATCACTTTATTGTAGTCCTGTCCAAAATATGAGACTATTGACATTTGAGAAAAAAAGAAGAGTATTGCATCCAAAATAGCATTTTGGCCAACAAAGAATTTTAATTTGACCTCCTTGGACGTATGCTAAAATGTCCCTTGGTCGGAGTAGGAAAGTTTGTTTAACTAATTGTTTTTCTACAAAAGACAGTAAAAACAGTAGCTCAAGTTTGAATGTCTGAGCCATGGTTTCACGTCAACGCTAAACTGGACGTGCTGTAGCTAACACACCGGAGAGTCAATAAGGGTGATCTGGGGACAACCAAGCTCCTACACTGACCTTTGCAGAGCGCGTCCACCGCTGACCTGGAGCTGGCGCCGTGGTATCGCGCCGAGACGCACCAACGCCACAGAGACATGCCGCGTTCAGAGCTTGTCCAGCTTCTGTAACTACACAGGTCTGGCCGTTTCGTTTGATTGTCCAGTGACAGGCAAGGAAATATGACATCATTGTTACGCGACAAATAAGCATTATGTAATTCTAGGTAAGTGCCAGCAGGGGGAGACTATAGTCACATAATAAACTGAAAGAGTCGGGGGTGCGCCTCAATTCTCTTTCCTTGTCTCCTACTCCTCTCTTCCTTTCCTCGATTCTACAGGAAATGGGTGAGGATGTCCCGGCCATCATGAATCTATGATATGATTTTATTATAGTTCTATGCCGGTCACAGACGAGACCCAGCGAAGAGAGAGAAGGAGAGGAAACAGGAAGGAGGAGACACAACTTGAGGATAAATAGTAGAGCCATCCCCCAGGTACAAGTTCTACCCAAATTAGTGAAAATTTTACCTATAGGTTTATTATTTATATTTAATTTATTTATATTATTATTATGAGACTTTTTAATCACGGTCAATAATAATACTACATGTGTTTGAACATATTTTTATTAGTTTTAAATTGAGGATTATGTAACACATCCCTTGCTATTATTATTATTATTATTAACGTTTTATTATTTATTTTTTATTTTATTTGATTTCTGTTCGCACAGGTTTCCTCCGTGGATTCCTTTCCTTGCTTCCTGGGCTTTGAACAACCCATAAGCTTAAATAAAGATGTATTTGTCTGCTGAGTATCTTCTCATTTCATTTAATATCGCTTTTTATATGTTCATAACTGCCCCACGTGAACGCTATTCGTTGTGCTTTTTGTTATTCCAAAAGAATTTGCTGAAGTTCTTGTCCCACCTTGGACGTTTTATGGGAGTTAGGCTATTTAACTGACACAATTTTCACATTAAGGCATGAGTGAAAAGCAAAATATTCCACAGTCCAAACACATGTATAAAAAAATATGTCCTATTTTTTACAAACATATTTTATTTAGTGAAGCCCGAGCCTATGCCTTTTGCGCCTATATTTCATAAAGTTTTCATTTAAATATTCTCTTAAAGTTTTGTTATTTTTGGTCCTAACAAACTAATAGTATAATAAGGACAAAAATCGCTAATCCTCATTTTTATAGGCCATAATGGCTAGCTGAATCACATAAATGAACTACTTAATGCTTGATTTAGTGTTTAATGTGAACATTATGGAGGCATAAATCGTTTAGAAATGGAACAAAAAGTGCTATTTTGTTAGGCAAGCCTACTGTTCACTTGGTGAAACCATGTAAGACTCATCATGTATTAAATCATTTCTGTAAATTCACAGTAAACAGCAAAAAACAAATTAAGATGAGATCGATAAAAGGGAGGGTTTGTAAACTGTGAACTACTGAATTTGGCCCCTTGAAAAAATAGCAATGTCAATATGGAAAGTAATGCATAGGCTATAATCTGACAAATATCAGTGCAGCCTATTTGGTTTAGGCTATAGCCTGTATGAGCAAACTTGGCTGTTTATGAATGTAACACCACAGACACAGATACAAGCAGACTTTATAAAATAATCCAATATTTTAAAAATATATCCTAGTGCTTCCGAAGGTGCGGCGAGTGTCTGTAGTCCACTGTGCGCGCGCCGCGCATCACACGGCACAAGCTCGTTTCTGCCGGAGACCTGCTCTCGGCTTTCTGGTCCTTGGTCCTTGGATAGAGTCCGTGTGGCCCTGCTCAGTCGCACGCAGACACGCTGCTGAGCTTGGCCGCGTGCTCGCTCCAGGGCTGCAGGTTATGCAGTGCAAAAAGAGAGCTGTTCTGTAGACACAGCGGGTCCGGACTCACGCGCTCGCACACCGACTTCTGGAAGGCCTCGTGCTGGAGCTGCATCAGAAGACGGTTGGCCTGTTGACGCTCTGCCTCGCGCTCCTCCGCGGTCTGACGCCTGGATCAAATTAAATGCAGTGATTTGAGCAGATTATAGACCTTTAAGCGTTAGGGTTAGTTGATTAAATGTTTATAAACAAATGGACTGCAGTTTAAATTGGGGAATGGAGGCAAAACAATCACAATCGAAAAACTCTGATTAGCCACAGAATAGCCTATTATAAAATCTGAAAAATCAAGGTGGCTTTGGCAAAAGAAAGATCAGTTATGTGTAGGATACCTAAGGATACCTAAGAAAACTCTAACTCAATTTAATAAGTAGGCAATTAATAAGGCAAAATTTTTTTATATATATTTTTTTAATTATCATTATTTTACGGGAGGATTTATTACATAATCATAAAACATATAATAATAATAATAATAATAATAATAATAATAAGAAGAAGAAGAAGAAGAAGAAGAAGAAGAAGAAGAAGAACAAGAACAAGAAGAACAAGAAGAGGAAGAAGAAGAAGAAACTTTTTCTTCTTTTTTTTTAAAATCTAATCTGACCCCTGAAGGGATCCTCACCTCCACTTGGTGCGCCGATTCTGGAACCATGTCTTGACTTGCGCGTCCGTCATCTTGAGGGCCTTGGCGAGCGTGGCCCTCTCAGCCGAGGCCAGGTACTTCTGTCGGTGGAAACGCTTCTCCAACTCACAGATCTGCAGCCGCGAGAACGAAGTGCGCGGCTTCTTCTTTTTGGGGGGTGTCCTGTTCTGGTACGGGTGACCTACACGACGCGCCACAGACACGGGTGAGAGCGACACTGGGCAAAGCGGGATCAAACACAGGATGGGAGCACAGGGCACCACAAGAGGAGAGAAACAAGACAGAACAGGTCAGAATGTGAGGAGACAGAGCAGCTGTTGAAGAGAAAACCAAGTCAGGTAACACGTGAGTTGGGAAGTTTAACGGAACAGATTGAAATTAATTTAATACAAATTCTAGTTTATAACACAGGATTGAAGAGGCTATATTATTATTTTTATTGAACAATAAATCATCAAATATATGCCTTTCTAAAGGCTATAATGCTGGTCACATGTCATAGGATGAGGATACTCTAACGTTGCCCAAATGGAGTATCGAGTGAATGGGGTGAAGGGCCAAAGGCCAGAAGAAATGCTTTCAGCAGAAAAGACATAGTATTAAGAAGAAGAAAAAAGAAATAGGCCCTGACGTAGCATGACCTAATATACGCTATGATGCTGACAACTGCCAAGGAAAAAAGAAATAGGTCTAGACTTAATATTAGACAAGGGTCTGTCTCACGTAATGACAATAAAGCATTCATAGGCTACGTTGTACCTGTGAAGCGATCCTTGGTATAACGTCGATTACTCTCCATCCAGGGGAACGTAAGTGCACTGAGGCCGGGGCCCGGGACGTGTGGAGGTGGAGGCCCGCCGCTCACAGGCCGGTGCGCAGGGACCCTTATTACGTTATTTGATGTCACGTTCATCCCCATGTTCATGTAAGCCCCGCACGCTCCGCCACCACCGCTCCCATTATACACTGCATTGGCACAGGTGAAGCCGCCACTGCCGTTAACTGCACCACCGCCGTAGGCCGCATGACCATAGTCCACATCGTGCGTCCTCGCGCCAAGCATGCAGCTCTGGTCCGCGTGGCTCAAGATCTGCTCAATGCCGAAGCTGATGGGCTCCGTGTGGCCCAGGTTGCCAATGTGCTCCATAGCGCCTGCGCGAGTCCCGCTGCAGGTGGCGCGAGAGACACGGCTTCGTTGACTCTGGGTTCTGCTCGTGCGCTCAGAGGCTTTATGTAGCACGCAGGCTCAGTGTAGTGCGCGTGAGGCGGAACAACAGCGTGAGAACATCAATCAGGGACAAATAGACAGCGCGAGACTCGCGAGGTGCTCTGAGTGAACATCGAGAACACTGCATGAGGGGCCTTGTAGCTGTGCTGGTAGGGCGCACGAGTAAACTATGGGTAGCCTACAGAATTGAGCCAGAATATGCCAAATGATGATTATCTGATCTGCTGTTCCGTTGCTAAAACGAATTTTAAAGAGGTTAATTAAGGAAATAAAATGAGACCTAAAGCAAAGGCTAATGAATCCCAAAGACGCGCAGATAAAGTCAGCAATATTGATAGGCTATATGTCCTATGGTCTCACTCATTCGCAATTTGCCAGTGATTATTTAGCTTATCCCTAGATAGGCAATACCAGGCTACGAGAGGAAATTTTGTCATTTTCAGGCAGTATATAGGTTTATCGTGCACTGCTGATGTGTACAACTGATGGCCCATTGATTTGTGTCTACACAAAACCCCTGGGACTTAATTACTTAATACCACAGTAGGCCTATTAATATTGTATACGCAGTAAGCGGCTATTATTTGCCAAACGAGCCCCATAAAATTTTCATACTGGGGACTGCGCCCAGTGAACTACGATCTTCTAAGCCTATTAAACTCAGATAAAGAACATTAAAATTTTAAAAAGATTATATTTGTGTTGTTGCGACGCTCATTAGTAGTGCGGTGGGTAATGGAGATAAATTTGCTTAGTGCACGTGCGTGCAAACCAACGCGCTGAAAGCGCTCTGACTGCGGACACTATCTGACGCCCAATTCATGTTGGCTACAACATGAAGCCTGCAATACAATACAGTTAACGAATCCTATATAGCATAGCTTAATAACAACCTAGGTGATCAATATAAATAAAAAATATATATATATATAACAACAACAACAATGAATAAAGGCCTACTAATATAATGTAGCCTACTGAAATTAATCAAGTGGTCTGCAAAGTTCCTGAGTGTGCTGTTGAGTAGTGCAGAGCTTTTCCAGCTGTAGACTGCTGCTGTTGCTTATTGTCTGGGCTGCGTTCAGGGGCCTTTGTGTAACGCGTTGGGGGCCTCTCTGTAGACACTTCTGTTTTTTCTCCACTGCTTGTATCAGTGCACTTATCATATGAACGACAACCACTTCCAGAGAACGCCACACGCGATGATTGATTAAAGCCAGTAACACGTGGAAAGTAAAGTGTATTCATTGTTTTCCTGCGTTAACTCCCCGTATAATTTTCTTCAGTCCGTAAGATAGTGTTCCTATTATTTTATTTTTATTTTATTTTTTATATATATTTTTTTTGTCCAGTGACATATAGGCCTACTTTTATCATCCATTTTTAGGCTCCGGAGCCTACTGTGCTATGAACAAGTAGATCATTGACACTGACCTTAAAAAATGTGAGTGCGACTCCTCTGTCCAATTTCCCTGAGTCACTTTCCCATAAAAGGCATGCTTCAGTCAGGATCTTGAAGTGTCATTCAAACTGCGTGGGACAGTGCTTGGTGGTGGAAAAAGGGGGAGTTTGACCATGAGGAACAGAGGCTGGGGCTGCAGGGCTCTAACAGTGGAACAGAGCTGGTGGGAGTTATTTCAGAGGTACAGTTGATTTAAGTTTCATTAAATTACCATGAAAAGACCGCATGAACACGAGTAGTGAGATTTTATTTGTACTATATAATGAACAAATTGGCCCTGGCCGTGCAGAGATTTATGCCAATAGTTTAATCTGTCAGCACCATGGACACTTGGCCACAGAGGCCTCCACTCATAGACACAACAGCAGACTGAGTTGATCACAGAGTGCCTCTACAGACCAAACACAATCTATCACATCTACACTGTCCACACTCCTGACATCCAGGCATAACATTTAGAATACTCCTTGTGACCAACTCATGACAATGCATCATCTAAGCATTACTGCATTTTAGGTGATTACTTTCCTTTACAAACAAAATTGATAGACTAAAAGTCTGAACAGGCCTGTTTTGTTTCAGGGGTTGCCCTATCTTCTGCATCCTCTTTGGCAGCACTTCAGAACACAGTCCAGCTGGAGTCCATCTCATTGAGTATTGGCCCCGGGCTCTTCTAGACTCTGGGCCTCCCTTGCCCTGGTCCCACAATGTGACGTTTGGGATGCAAAGGGTGACTCTTGGCAGCTCTGTCCCACAGAGACAGTTGGAATATATCCTATCACAGCAATATGGCTGTAAGAGCACATTAATCATACTTTTGCAACACAATTTACAAAAAGTAAAAACAACATAAAAATGTTTAAAAAATTAAAATTAAAAAGGTGCCACCCTCTGCACCTGCACACTTCTGGAGACTCCCCTGCTCTACATCTGTACAGACCTCAACACTCCCCCTCTTTCAACCCCACACCTGCACACACCTGGAGACCCGACACCGTCCTGCACCTGCAGACTCTCCCTTCTGTACCTGCACAATGCAAACACCTGGTGAATACATTTGTTTATCTGTTTCTCTTCAGTGTTTAAGAAACTCCTTAGCCCTGGATAGTTTTATAGTTCTAATTCTATTCTATTATTTTGTAGTTAGTTATTCTATCAAGTCCTATAGTGGTTAATTTTGGTGTATTTGAGACAGTCATTCAGTTACTGCTATGGGCAGTAAATCTAGATGTTGGTGACAGTTCTAAGGGGAACACTGAAGAGCTTCCGATGTTTCCAGGAAACAACTCTCATCCTCCATGATGGAGCCAGACCTTTGCCCTCGTGCAGGGTCTGCTCCAAATGCAGCTCATCACAGTCATTTACAGAATTTATTTTGTTCAAAAGTTTATTTAGAACTACTAGAGCACTCTGTGTTTTGTATCACAGTGTGATGTATAACTAGTCACTATTATTAGGCTACACATTCAAACTTATATGCAGAAATGTCAATTGTTAAATATTTCTTGTTCTGAAAACAATGTTTTACTATATAATAACTATTATTATATTATACAGTTATCTTAATATATACATAATTTTCTGATTAGGTAAAAGTTAAATAGTATTGCTATTGTCTACAAGACAATAACTACTGCATTTGCCCACATGCACCTAGAGTTGTGCATCGGAAAACAGTGTGAAAAGAGTGTGCTTGTATATATCAGTGTGGCAGTGGGTGGCTGAGCATAGGGCCAGCTTTGAGAGGGTAATCCATCTCCATCACTTAAATGATTATCCCCATTAATCTGCTGTAAACTAATAAAGTAAACACGATCTGGGCCCCCAGCCCAGGACCCCCCCTCTGCCTGGCACTGCATGGAGCCTCATTAAGTCTTTAGTACATTAATACATCTTCATGTTGCCCCAGCCGCCCTCTCACCTGGTGCTCAGGCCCCCAGGGACCCCAAAAAAGCTCTTCCTCATTGCAGGGGGGAGGAGACAGCAACGTATGTGCACATAGGGTTTATGACCTCATTAATATATATGCTTTATAATCTAACCATACTGTTACATCAAACCCTTCAGTTCATGGCCTTATACTGTTGCACAGTTGAAGTGAAATAAAGTAAACACAAGTAAACTGGATAGTTTCAGTTAAGATGTATGCGTGCTACATTGGTAGGCTCTAAACTAAGACAATATAGTTTAACTTTTGGCATAGAGAACCTTTCTCTTTGAGACGAGAAGGCACGGGAAGAGAGAGGGACCAGAGGATGTCCCCATTGGTGTGCAGGCATTACACATGTCGCTGTTTGTCACTTTCCTGAGGCAGAGAGTGGAGCGGATTTAATTTGTCGCGGGGGCCTCAGATGGCCCCTCTCACCACACTCATTTGCTTGATCAGGTTAGAGAACTGTTGCCGCTGGTAATCAATCATCCAGCTTGTCACCGCACGCGGCTTGGCCCACAGTGAGCGCCTGTAATTGGCACTAGATTGATGCGGACGTGTTCCGGCATGTCAGACAAAAGTTTGCTCAATTAAAGGTTGGTATCAGCTCAACCCTCAACCCTCAACCCCTGCAGCTGTGTGTGGATGTCTCTGTGCATTCGTCACAGCAGTGTATGTATGTGTGTGTCTGTCTCCTCTTCACTAGGTTTGTCCGGTAAAGAGGGCTGGGGTACACACTCTGAAATATAGGGTGCATTCAACTTCACACAATCAAACAGATCTAAACCTGTACCAGGAAAGAACTAAACCAGGATTAGAATGGGACCAAACCAGATATAGATGTAGACGTACTATCTCTGGTAGACATCATAAAGAGTCTGGACAGACTCTGGAGGACAGACTCTGGGGGACAGACTCTGGGGGACAGACTCTGGAGGACAGACTCTGGACGACAGATTCTGGGGAATAGACTGGAAGACAGACACTGGAGGACAGACTCTGGGGGACAGACTCTGGAGGACAGATTCTGTGGGACAAACTCTGGGAGCAGACTCTGTAGAACAGACTCTGGAGGACAGTCTCTGTAGAACAGACTCTGGAGGACAGACTCTGAGGGACAGACTCTGGAAAGCAGACTGTGAGGGACACACTCTAAGGGAGAGACTCTGGAGAATAGATTGGAAGACAGATGCTGGAGGACGGACTCTGTGGGACAGACTCTGGAGGACACACTCTGGGAGACAGACTGTGGGGGACAGACTCTGGAAGACACACTCCTGACTGTGGTTGTGGTAAGTGCAGTGATCTGCTCTTCTTTAAAACCTGACACATTTTATGGGCTGAGGGATGCCCTGTTGTCTGTACTTAACACCAACTCAAACAGATCGCATTTCTTCTTCTTTCTTTTCTCTTCTTTTCTGGGCACACACATACACACATACACATACACACATACACACATACACACATACACACATACACACATACACACACATACACACATACACACATACACACATACACACA